CAGCCAATTAGGTATTTGAAAGCCAAGAGGGTTTGCTCGAAGGTGCCCATTGGTGGGCCGCAGCAAAAGTGTTAAGGGACTACATGTCCAAAACAATTTTGGATGAACCTCAAGGATAAATACGGTAAATATCCTCATTAACGTACATTAAGCTATAGTACTAATTAATTCAAGTACAGTGGCCCTATCCCTCTTTCTAGGCCTAGAAACATAAGTTACAGGTTAAGATACAGAGATGTAACGGTAAGACATACCTGAGGTTCTGTTCCTGGAGGTGCATCAGGATTTATGTAAGAATCTATGTCCTTTGGTTGGTCGTTATCATTGTTTTCACTCGACGGGTCAGGATTAGAATCTCCATAAAGCCACTGTTCTTCGTTGACAGAATCATCACCGAGATCCGCCATTTTCGATCTAATCAAATCAACAAATCTGGCTGGACTCGGACTGGATCTAGCGATCTAGCCCTAGCCTAGTTTTCTTTTCTTGTTTTCTTTTCTAGTTTCGTTCTTCATCTTTTCCTTTACGTTTTTTTACCCTATTGCCACTACAACAATGTTAAATATTGTCCCACTTGGGCTATGCCATAGATTAAAATTCAATGCTCTAATTGGGTATCACCATAGATTAAGCATACTTGTGCGTGCTTGTGCTAGTTAGTCTGGTTAGTCTTAATACACGGCCACCTCTAACTACAAGGCCGCGGCCTGGAGTTAAAGGTGACTGTGCTTAATATCATTAATGTAACACTATATTACCAATTGTTTTATTTTGTATATGTAATACATTTTATCGATATTGGTCTGATAAGAATTGTACATTACAAATACAGGCTTCCCTATTTCCCCCCACGCTTGTATTTTTCCACACGTGATTGTAATTTCTCCTTTTGTCTTGATGTAGTTTTGATTTTCTGTTTATATTTCGTTGTTATTTCGTCACCAGCATGGCAACTCTACAACCATTAGATCCATGTTAATTTTTCCAAAATTTTAAACTCATTTTTGTGCTAATTTTTGAGCCTATTTTAATTTACGAGTATTAAGGGATTCTGTCTGCATATCTACAGGAAAATATCTTTCCAACAGTATGCGTAGATTTTCTCTGCGATGAACATGAGCTGAGAAAAAAAGGTTTTAAAGAAACATGCTTGCCGATTAATAAATAGATAGAAGATCTCGTAGATAGATATCTCAAATGAGTACAGCTTATAGTATGTTTGTAGGGAAGGCCGTGGATTATTCATTCTGATTGATAGCTCTCCTTGCGGAAAAGGAAGTGGATTCTTATTTCTTATTTCTTTCTTCATGTGCTTTAATCGGTTTCATCCGTTTCATCACCCCATAGACAATAGACATAACAGTGCAACTGCAATGAAATGCATTCACATTCAACAAGTCTAAAATGTTGAACGTTAAATCCTCCTAGGTGTGGATAAAGTACCATATTGTTTGTAAATATTCATATTGCTAGTTGAAGTTGATGCAGAAGGAAAATTCCTGAACTAACCTTGCTACTAACAGGCAAAATGCAGAATCAATGTGTTTTTTTGACTGAAAGAAGTTCTTGTCCAAGAAAAACCCCAGAAATTTTACTTGAGCAGTGGTTTCAGTTTCAGTGTTGTCCAAAATAAAATTTCGTGGTTTTCCTAATTGAAAATTCAATAAGTTGTGATATGTTGAATTGGTTTTGAGGAGATTTCACCAAACCACTGTAACAAGCAACTGGCTTATAGCCTATGAAAGGATTCATGTCTAGGCCTAGTTCAAGTCGGCTTGGGCTGGAGATAGGGTATCGTCAGCAAAAAGACATATTTCGCCCTTTTTCACAACTGATGGGGTGGTCGATGAAAAGTGAGGAACAATATTGGACCAAGATTTACCTCTAAGGCACTCCACCGACAAGTGCCAGTATAGAGGATCTGTGAGCGAAGACACCCAGAGCTATCCACTGGCACATACTGCTTTCACCTACCTCCACAACATGTCTTCAGTTGGCAAGGTAAGAAGAAAGCCAATGTAGTAGGTTACAGCTCTCTAATTCCACAAGAGTGTAACTTCTCCTTGAATCAATCACTTTGTGTCAAATGCTTTGGTCAGGTTGAAAAAGAAGCCCAAAGCTTTCTCACCTCTATCCATCACGAGCTTAGTTGATACAAGGTGATAAATTGCATCTATATTGTAGATCTGTTTTAGACAAGGCCAAACTACTGTTTACTGGTGAGTATATGCGTCATCATTTTACAGTTGAAATCCCAGCAATTCGTTAAGATGGAATTTGGCACATAACTTGTACAGCTGTTAGGTAGTACCGTAACTGTGGATCTATTATTAAATTACCTACTTTTATCATCGATGTTCCTAAAATTGATTGTGTTTTTAATTTGTATATATTTTTAAATTGTAGGCTTACCCCATAACTTTGCTTTTATTTTCTTCCTAACTTATTTTACATAAAATTTAGATTTCTTTTGCCTCACAAGTTTTCTAAAATTGGATTTTATTCTTAAGTAACATCTAGGTCATGTTTTGGAAGGAAAATCTTTTGTTCGGTTGTCTAGCTAACTTATACATGATGGCCCAGGTCAATCATTTCTGTCCTTTTTTTGGCTAATTTATTTGTCTAAGATTACCGGACCTGAGTTTTTTTTTCTTTCCAATTATAGTACAATCCACACTAGTTTATCCACCTACTCTTTACTGTATTATTGATGGAATTTTAAAATTAACATCACCTAACTGGACTCACACTTTCTCCGATTAGTTTGCAACAACCCAACTTTTCTCTGGGAAAATCACAAAAATTGCAATAACTTTTGAACCGCAATTGTTATACCATTGAGCGCTATACAATTTTGTTTAAAGTTAAAATTACCAAAATACTATACTAATTAAAAACCTACCACGCCTAAAAAAAAACTATAAAAGGTATCAAATTACCTGAGTACGGTACTGCCAGGTCTAAGGAGCCTTGGTCACTAACAAGACTACAAGATCGCGCCACTCATCCTACACTCATCTCCGGCTTAAAATACTTACTTTGTATGGTCGCCATTTAATAAGAAAGTACCCTAAAGAAAGTGATCCTGTTACTGTAGTCCTTATGGAATTTCGAAGTGACAGTGTCAAAATGTTCTTGTACAAGATCTGATGATGTGTGGGGTCTAGACTGGAATTAACCCAGCTAGATCCACATTTAATAAATATCGTGCTGATTCCACTACCCAATAGCACTCACGTAAACCCTGCCCAGCGTAAGCCAGCTTTGATAAGTCGTGAATAAATTCATTAACTACATTTTTATTTAATTTTAACTACCCCTCGCCATTGAAACTCGCCTGCAGCAACTTGCCCTAAACATGATATCGATAATTGTAAAGTTAATTTAGTTACATCAGTTAATTTATTGTTGGTTGAACCTGCCCTAATTTAGAAAAGATACCCCTTACCCCCTTTATCCCCCAAAAGATTACAATTAATTAGACATTATCGGTACTTTACCAACTGTTGACCAAGGATCAGGACCTCCTTCTTCTTCGGCGACGGATCTCAGACAAACCTGCTTGCCGGCGGTTGGTCTTTTCCGGTTGGAGCGCTAGTCTCGGTCCGACTAGAGCTGTCTGCCTGCCTTTGGATCAGCCGATGGGGTTGACTCTTACCTCAATATATATAATTATTGGCGGTGATGTGGGTTACTCCCACAGATGAGGACTTAAGTTCGACTCGAAACGGGTTTAATCCATAAGAAGTACAGTAACAATATCACTCTGGCAGTACCTACTCAGGTAATTTTTACCTTTTATAGTTTGTTCTGTGATCCAGAGACAAAACAACTCAAAACAACTCAAAACTAAAAAAAAATCTCTTGAGCGTTTTTTTTTGCTTTTTGTTTTTTATGGGTTTTAGGGAATACCCATCATAGAAACTAAACTAAAAAAATATTACATAAAAAACTGGAGCTACCATGGATTAGTTGATTAGTTGAGATTAGTTAATGGTATATGGATAGTACCCAACAGGCATATAAAAAAAAAATTTCATCAAAATCGGGCCACAGATGTAGCCCTAATAGTTTGTAGACTGGTAGCTCTGTGTATACATCAACACACACACAGACACAGACATAACTTGAGCGGGTGTCCAAAACTGATATTTCTACCAAAAACTCACTCAACAACGACAAGAAAATATACCTACCTACGTGTTCTCCATATTATTTTATATATTGGAGGATAAACTATAAATATGTAGCCACCATGACATCGAAGCGTACAATGTTTTACTCTGAGCATAAATAAATTACATAGTTAAAACTTTGAATGATTAAAAAAAAAATCCTTTTGAGACATGGATGGTAATTATTATAACTAATTTGGACATGGAAGCTGTTGAAGGAAAACAAATTCAATAAAAAATAACCAGTTTATTTAGAAACTAGACTTTACTTCTTATTACTAAAATAATATGTTTAATTAAATATAGAATTTCAGAAATATTGTATTTATAAAAATTCATAGCAACCAGCAAACATAGGCAGATGTATTTTTAGGCGTCTAATTTCTACATAAGGATGTTTAAAACGTAAATAATAGAACAAAATATATTGTGGCATAATTTACGTTAATTAATTCCTTGACCTAATATTTGTGTTTGTTATTTTAAGAAATTTAACATTTAATTTTTTTTCTTTTATTATTTAGCTAATTTTTTTTGGTGACACAATATTACTAAATAGATACCGGTAGGCTATTTGTGTGGTAAATGATTTAGTCTAATCCAAATTCAACCCTGAAATATATCCTAGTGACATTTTAAGAAATTTTTTCAACAATATTATAACACTGAAGTAATGAAACAAAGAGGCAAAATTTACTTTCATAGATCAATTAAAATATATTTAATCTCGGCACATGCCGTTATCGTAATACTGTATTGTAATCGCCAGCTTAATCCTAAGTCCTCACAAGTATGTAACTTATCAATCCCTTCATTCAAGGTTACCCCAGCCTTGGAGTTGGCCTCAGCATCTTAGTCTGTCTGTATGGCTCTCCACGCAACTTTGGATTTAACATAGATAAAGGTTAGTCTAATATAAAACTAATTAAAATGTTTTAATGTAAATACCGTAGTATGTTATAATTACTGTTACATTTATATTACAGGGAAATGGAAGTTAAGATTTTGTTCTAAACCAGTAATACACATTATTTTCTCTATCTTAAACAGTAAAAAGGTTGTGTTCATAGTAAAGATACATTTTAAATTGTATACTAAGTTTACTGATAATTAAAGGGTGATTGTAGGTAGTTAATTTATTTTTTCTAAAGCAGCATAATTATCCTGGGGGATTGTTGTAAAACTTTTATTTTGTGGGCTGAGGCACGCTTAAGTTATAAGTTTTCCAACAGTGAAACTTGACTTACATTATGTTACGCCATTGCGTAGTAATTTTTTTATCATGAGCTGCTGGCATTGACCACTTTTGGAACTGTTTGTGAAGGGTTTGTAAACTGTTATTTTTATATTTCTAGTTGATAAACACTCCTTTCTGTGGTAAAGTTGACATCAATATTCTAAAAGAATGTTATCAGTGTAGGTTTTTGTTTTTACAAAACAGCTGATACACTGGTATAGAATTTAAGGCCACCCTCTATACATGGTGACCTACTTGATTAGATTAATGTAATGTATGTGTAAATTAATGTAATGTATGTGTAAAATCATTGTTGCAGTTTTTTTTTTTTTAACTTTATAGTAATTTATGCTACATATATAATTATTTTACTTGTACAATTAATTACACACATATTAAAAAATCAATTGATAAAACAATAATATAAATAATCTAATATATAAAATTCTCGTGTCACAGTGTTTGTCTGCAAACTCCTCCGGAACGACTTCACCGATCGTTATGAAATTTGGTGTGTAAATTCTGTAGGTATGCGAATCGGACGTAAACTATTTCCCGTTTCGAAATTCTTAAAAGGGCTCCGCCCCAGTGGCTCTGGAGTTTCCCATGTTAACCTTATGAGAAATGGAATTAATGAATCTTAACAGCTGTTTCAATTAAACAAGTTGGTTCTGTTCTATGATGTTCAATAGCATTAAAGTTACAAGGATTACCAACAGGGTGCAGCACTATTATTTCTTTTACATTTATGACAACAGCTAATTTGCAACCAAAAGGTGAGTGAGCGTAGCGAACGAACTTCAACCTGGAGGCGAGTTAGCGTAGCGAACGAGCTAACCTGAAGGCAAGTGAGCGCAGCGAACGAACTTCAACCTGGAGGCGAGTTAGCGTAGCGAACGAGCTAACCTGAAGGCAAGTGAGCGCAGCGAACGAGCTCCAACCTAAAGGTGAGTGAGCGTAGCGAACGAGCTCCAACCCAAAGGTGAGTGAGCGTAGCGAACGAGCTCCAACCCAAAGGTGAGTGAGCGTAGCGAACGAACTTCAACCAGGACGTGATTGAGCGATGCGAACGAGATCATCTTGAAAATTAAACGTAACGGTACTTTCTTTCCATCGGTCTGTCTTAGGGGAAACCTATAACTTAGGCGATACGAAGTTCGCCGGGTCAGCTAGTAATATAATAATATAAATACAATAATATAATAATATAATTTATTGATCAATGAATAAATAATATTAAATAATAATAAATTATTATATTATAATATTATTAAATATTATTACATAATAATAATTAGTTTACATATTTATTGTTAAATATGTGTGTGTGTTTATTTTTAGTAGGTACCTAATTTTCCTATAGGGAAGTATAGCTATTACCGTAGGTGGCACAGTAAAGACCTAGGCCCGGGATGATTTACTTTTTCATTTTGATGTCCCCAGAGGCCAAAAACACCATTCGTTCAAACCCAATATCTTTTTCCAGGTTCCACTTATACAATTGAAACTTTGCAAAATGTTTATGGGTATAAAAAACGTATTCTAAGTTTAATTTACTTTTACATTTTCCATATAATTTTTTACTGCAAATTTTTTACGGGTAAGTATAAAGAACTACTTTATGCTACAGTTGATTTTTCATCTCCTCTGGGGGACGGCCCGTCAGGAGTGGGTGAAAAATCTAGAATATTGTACAGTAGAAACAAAGCTTGATAAGTTACTATGCGTACCGTAATTTAAATTATACCACATTTAAATGTTCCCTACGGTTTGTAACCATAATAAACATTAAATAACTTACGTCAAATGTCATAGGAGATATTCAAATTGTTTTCCCTCGTCTTCTTGGCAATATCCCAGCCAGTGATAAAATGCTGACGAGGCGTTGTTGATTGCTTTTACTGGAATAGGCGCAGATTCCCGTTCAATACGAAGTCTCAACTCTACCAAATCCCATGGTTTGGTTTGGTAAACTTGATGCTTCAGATAACCCCAGAAATAATAATCCAGTGGGGATAAATCCGGGGATCGAGCTGGCCATTCTATATGTTTCTTCTACCGATCCATTTGCCTGGGAAAACATGATTTAAATGTTGTCTTAAGTCTAAACCGAAGTGTAGAGAAGCTCCATCCTGTTGAAAGCATAGTGTTCCAAAGTTATAACCGGAAATATTTTGTAAGGCAGGAATAATTTGATTTCGAAGCATTGCTAAATATTGAACAGCGTTCAAGTTCCCTTCTTTAAAAAATGGTCCTACTTTGGCTTCTAAAAATACCCACCAACACATTTAATGTTTGTGGGTGTTGAGTGTGTTTCTCAACCATCCAATGAGGATTTTGGTCACTACAATACCTGTAGTTGTGTCAGTTTACAACCCCATTTAACATGAATATTGCTTCATCAGTAAATGCAATTTCGTTTTGAAGATTCTGATCTCTATTGATACTGTTCGTCATAAAGTTCACAAAACTCCAAACGACGATCAAAATCATCTTCAGATAATTCGTGAACCAAGTGCATTTTATAACCTTTAAAATGGTTTCTTTTTAAAACTGTCCTGACTGGACCGCGGCAAGTTGTGATGCGACTGACTTAACGGAGGTATGTTGGTCTTCAACAAATGATTGTAATATGTCCACCGACGTTTCCTCATCTGTTGCTATCTGTGGCCTACCAGATCTTGTTCGATCCTTAATACTACCCGTCTCTTCAAAACGCTATATAGTTCTACTAACTGTAGATCTGGAAATAGGATCTCTTTCTGGAAAAGTATCATTAAATAACCTTCGTACTTCTTCTAAAGATCGAATTCGATCACCATAACCACGGATCATTAACAATGTGATTCTTTCTCGCTTGCTTAGGCTTAGGGACATAGTAACAGAAATAAGTTGTTCGGATAAATGTTGATGTACAGTTAGTTATAGCTACTACACTCTAGATCTCTGAAAGGCAACTGCACTGACAATATTATTATTCATGACAAGGATAAACCCCTAAATGTGTTGTTATTGTTGTACTAATGGGCAAAGTTCAACTCTGTTAAGGGAAAACAACAATATCTGAGCTCTTGTCCTTGAAACATTCCAGTGGTAACATTGGTGGTGGTGGTAGGAGAATACTCTCGAAATAACCTAAAAGTACCCTAAGTAGTAAGAAACAACCCAACCCTTCATGAGGTCAGCTCAAAATGTACAGCCCGGATTTTTACCCCCCCAATTTTTATTTTACCCTCTGGCTAGATATAGAAATATGTGAGAATGATTAATTTCAGTCTTTCAGTTTTAATTTAATAGTAAACATTTTATTATTAAGTAGCTTTTCTTAATTTATTTGTAACCTTAACTAATCAAACAGGTTTTGAATTTTATTTTAATATTCAAGTTTTGGGATTTGATTTTTTGGGCCAACTGTTGGTTAATATGTATATACAAACATTTGGGTTTCCTTGCAGTAGTCAACTCAACAATTGGTCGGATACTATTTACCAGATGCCTACAACTACATTTTACAACAGGTATATCGATGACCTTTCTCAGTACAAACCATATAGCTCATGGTTTGTGCCTGAAGAAACAAAAAGGCATATTGTGTTATTATACAACAGAAACAAAATTGTTAAAGAAGTTGAGATTACAAATAAATTAAGATAGACTACCGTTACTCAATAATAAAATGTTTACTATTAAATTAAAACTGAAAGAAGAAAATTAATCATTCTCAATAATTTCTATATCTGGCCAGGGGGTAAAATTCTGGGAGGTAAAAAAATCCGGGGGTAAAATTCGGGGGGGTAAAAATCCGGGGGTAAAATTACAGGGGTAAAAATCCGGGGGTAAAAATCCGGGCCGTACATCTACAGTTGTCTAAACGCTAGTTATATGGTCAGGGGGTAAAATTCCGGTTTTTATTGCTAATCTAATTTATCGCACTCAGTATATTTTCATTAGAATTCCAAATCCGTGGGGGTAAAATTACGGCCACGAACAAACTTCAGATTGCTCAGGTTACTACGTAATAGTGACGTCAGCTTTGCCCAGGGGGTAAAATTCCAGGGGATAAAATTCCGGCGACCCGAAAATATGAGTTACTCTCAGAGTATACTAATGATTTTCTCCTGAGCAAAGCTTGGTCCCCAGGTACTTAAAAACAAACTAGTACGGTACTGGTACATCATATAGACTGGTTTTATAATTGGTTTTGCTATTTTAAAAAAATGCCTTAAATAGGAAAGTTTCTATTGTGTGTATTGTTTTAAAGTTAAGTGTGAGTACCTATAAGGCTTTAATCTCATGCCTCTGTATCTTAATAATTATACAGTACTTTTGCAATTTCATCTAGGATCAGCTGAAGGCCGTCTGGTTGATCTAGTTATAGCCACGCCTTTTAATCACTCACATGTTAGTAGGTAGTTAGAGATAATACATTAATTCATTCGTTTGTAAACACCCTGTTTAAGAATATGCTCTAGTTAGAAAACAAAGCTAAGCCAAGTCAACTACTTCGTTATTTGGAAAACAAAATCAAATAAAAACATATATGGTGTCTTCTCTCATTGAGAGAGGGGCTAGCTGATCTAGTATTAGAGCTCGGGCTTCGGTCCCTGAGGTCTGAGGTTAGAATCTTACCAATCACCACTGGAATTGGCTATGTAATGAATGAATGAAAACAGTGTTTTATTCAACAAAAATAATCATTACAAACCTAGGCTCCTCGCAGGAAGCCCCATTTCTTACATGTAATTCTATGTGATAATACCACCCACAAAGGGCACTTGAAGTAGACAATAGACAATAGACAATTTCTTTATTACAATTTCATCAAGAAATGTTACAGCGTCAAATTTTACAGATACAAAGTGAAATGGAAAAGCTTCTTCAGTGTTGTGTGTGGTCTTGCCATGATGTAGGGCTGAATGTATAAAACAATTCTGTAGCCTAAGATGTGAAAGTTTAGAATTATAGATATACTAACTGGGAGTATGTTTAATCTATGGTAGAAACTAAAAAATACAAATTTTATGGATAGGTTGATTGCATCTGACCTGGTACCTTCATATTTTATGTATTAACTTACTATAATTGACATAACCAATGCATGTAAACTATATGTAAATCTGGTTGAATAAATTACTTATGACTTCAGGGTGCATAAATGTATTATATTATAAATTGGAGCAAATATTTTGTCTGGTGCTAAGTATAATCATTTTAAATTAGGCTTAAGTCTTTGCTAACACATTTTGTAATCTAGTTTTGATCAAATACAATTGTTGACCTCTATTATGTAAAAACATAATAAAATGAAGCAAACATTTGAATACAAGTTTATATTGCTGGTACAAGTCCTTTGTTTTTCATTCTTTGTGATGTAGATTTAAAGATTTGGATACTTTGCGCAAGTCATATAGCATTTTAATATCACAATAAATGACAAGAGAATATATTATTGAAAAACCTCCTTTTACCGGTAATTGTTTGAAAAATGCCAATCTTTTGGATTATTCTTTCTGATAGGAATTGCAAATTGCAAAATAACTCCGGCCAGCTGGTCACAGCCTTAGCCTTTGTAGGCTCATGTTCCCAACATTCCGCCACTGCCTCCTGTATACATAACTTAGAGGCTAGGCCAAGGTCAAGCTTATATCAAAATCACCAAGGCTGTTCTACTTCCTGTTCCTTTCGCTGATCGATAATGCCAATGTCTGTTGTGAATTTTGATATGCAAATTTCAAACACTTTTGTAGAATTTTTCTAAATTGAAGACATTGGAATAGATAGTTATCAAATGTATTGAGCAAGTTGGTTTTTGTCGTCTGACATAGCCTATATTTATTGGTGGTTAATTAGTAAAAGTAGAAATCTTTAGGTATATTTTATGGCATCTTCTTTTCTCTGATAATTTTATTTTTGCTCTATAACAACAAAAAATTGTTGAAAAAATTTTTTGTTTAACTTTTTTGTAGGGCTGCTTTATTGATAATTTTGGAATTGACAATTTTGTATGTCTTGAACAAGTTTTTGAAATTATATTTTTATTAGTAGTTTGTTCCTAGGAATAGCCTATTGTTTATGGGCTGTTTTCAGTGGAACTAGAAAAATATTCTAGGATAATTGTTTTCTGAGATGAAAGTATTTCTATTACATTTAAAGACAATATAAATTGGTTGCAAGTCTACTTTTTGTTTGAAGCTTTGCTATCTAATTTGCTATAAGGAAATATGTCTATAAAAAAATAATCAAAGTTCTTAATAGCTTTTGCTTCAATTTGGCATATAAAGTATTTAAGTAATCGAGTATAGGCTATGTCTTGTGTGGTTAATTCTCAAATCTAGACAACAATAATATGCATGAATAGTAATCTCAGGTAAATGGACTGCTTTGCACCAACTTTTTTGCTCATCCTAAATGGTTAATAATAATGGTTAATAATAAGCAGGCTAAACCCAAAACCCCTTTACAATGTTTTTTTTATTTTTTCTCCTTCAACTGTTATAATGAGAAAATTGAGAAAAAAGTTGGTAAGGTTAGTTTGAAATTAATTAAATTATAATAAATTAAGAAGTTTTACAAACTAAGTTAAAAAGAGCTGTGACATATATGTCTATTTGTATATTTGTATTTGTATATTATTGGATCATAGTTAAACAAAACAGTTTGTCTGAAAAAATATGCATTGAATTATAAATCTTATTTTGTCCTAAAAGATGTTCCGAAAATACAGCAAGCACAATAGTTTAAGGTAACGGTACTACTTTACAAGTCTGTTACAGTTTGCTGTAAGCACCTATTCTAAGAGATGATAACGTAAGTGGTTAGATAGTTTCTCATGTTTATACCTTTAGTCACATTTTAAGATAGTCCTGTTTTCATTTGGTAGTTTACAAATTGCAAACATTCCTAAGATGACACAAACGATTACCAAGCCTTATTGTGATATTTTAAAAAGCCATTTTAGTTATTAACCCACACATCACCAGTAATAAACTTAAAACAAAATCCTCATGTTAGAAAAATCACTTTATTTATCTGCTTGGGAGGAAGTGTGTAGCACAATATTTTTTTTAGTTTCAGGATTCAACAATGGAAGCTGGAGAAAAACAAGTCAGCAAACTGGCACCGAACCCTCAGTTATTAGCCAATGTACTGTCCAGGGCTACAGTCAGGTATTTGCATTTTGCAACATGTTTTTCTACATCATTTGAATTTAAAGTTTTTTCATGGTAATGGTCAAACAACGGTATTTTTACTATACCATTGAGTATACACAAGAGTTGTCACATAATGCTATTAGTTGTTACCGATTTTGGCAACGTTGTTCGAGCCGCTGACACTTGGATCGTGGAAGTCTGTCAGTAGTGCAGTGTGCCTCAGAGGACCTTTTAATAATTTAGTATTAAAAATTCATTATAAAACAACATAGAAACAAACAAACAAATTTCATCAACAAAAATGACATTTTACAACCTACAATGAAAGCAATAGTAAAAAACAACCGAACTGCCTTACCGACAATCCCAAGATGGAATAGTTTGGGCCTCTGACGCTACTCTGTAACAGCACTGTTCAGGAAATGATAACCTCTATTGAGTGGTTACTATCTGAGTTTAAAATTGATCCCACTTTGGATCCAGCAACCTTCGATTGCTTAGTCAGCATTTTTGCTGCCGCGGAGGTATTCAAGTGTTTTAACTGCTTACGGCCATTCCATCTGTTTCCCAGCTTTACCTTTTATTTATGGCTGGGCGGCTAGGTGAATATAGTGCTTGCGTAGTTAAAAGTAAAAATCTTTTCCATATGGTTTGAAACTGGACCCAGCCATCCTTGGTCATTGGACTGTTGATAAGAGATCATGGCTCATGGCTAACCAACCGGCTGATCTTAGTCAGTAACACAGCTGTTATCTCATTCATTCAACACTCTTCTTTTGTTTTAGATTATAAAGTGTATTGGTGTTTTAAAAATCTACTCAAAATTATGTAGCCTACTTATGTAAATTCTGTGTAGCATTATTTAAAAATACCCCCGCCGCAGCAAACCTGCAGACTAAGCGAATTTCCATGTACACAGCTGGAATTCCACTGAATTGTTCCCTTAAAATTGTCAGATTTATTTCCACTTATGTAAATTCTGTGTAGCATTATTTAAAAAAAAGTTGACATTTGACTATTAACACTGACATAACATTACCATTCATAACATTTTATAACATTTATAACATTTTGACTTATAGTTGGAATTCACATCAATATTAGATTAAATTCTATGTAAGTTGGTAAAAGCTTTAAAAAACGTTAAATCAGATAGCTACTTTCAACACTCTTTTTATTTACAATATTGAACTCGCAACAATAAGCATTTTAATCATAACTGAATCTTTAGCAATGAAACATCAAGTACAAAGAGAATAAAATATATATCAGCTGATTAAAATTATTACACTAGCTGTATATAATAATCTGACAACTTCTGACATCGGAGTATACTAGAAATTATGCTGTTTGTATCCCATCAACAAAGTCATGAAACAATCTCTGAACATTATTTATCAAGGATTGGAGCTTGTTTATTTATAACTAGCTGGCCCAACAGACGTTGTCCTGTCCTAATGTGGTTTTATGTCAAATGCTCGTTCACATGGCTCAATAACGTCCTGATTGAAGTTCGTTCGCTACGCTCACACACCTTTCGGCTGCAAATTAGCTGTTGTCATAAATTTCAAAAAATAATAGTGCTGCACCCTGTTGGTAAACCTATTAACTTTTAATGCTAGTACCTGGGCACCGAGCTTTGCTCGGGGAAAATCATTAGTTCACTCTGAAAGCAGTCTTAGTATTGGAGATACATAAATCCATTCCCAAACTCCACACGGTTCGCCTTTACTACGTCCTACACCATTTCCTACGTCATGGACCTGTTTCCCTGCATTCCCATAGCACTTTAGGATTGTAGACACCTTAATCTAATCATTATTAACAGATCCCACACTCCGGACAGCTCACCTTGACTACTTCCTCCACCACTTCCAACGTAGTGGACCTGTTTTCCTCCCTTCCCTTAGCATTTCAGAATTGCAGACACCTTAATCTAATCTTCATAAACAGTTCCCACGCTCCATACTACTTGCCTTTACTACGTCCTTCACCACTTCCTACGTCGCAAACCTGTTTACCTCCCTTCCCATTACATTTAAAGATTGGAGATACCTTAATCTAACCGTCATAAACAGTTCCCACACTCCGGACAGCTCGCCTTTACTACTTCCTTCACCACTTCCTACGTCACGGACCTGTTTCCCTCCCTTCCCATAGCATTTTAGGATTGCCCATACCCTTATCTAATCGTCATAAACAGTTCCCACACTCCGGACTACTCGCCTTGACTACTTCCTTCACCACTTCCTACGTCACGGACCTGTTTCCTTCCCTTCCCATAGCATTTTAGGATTGCAAATATCTTAATCTAATCGTCATAAACAGTTCCCACACTCCGGACAGCTCGCCTTTACTACTTCCTTCACCACTTCCTACGTCACGGACCTGTTTCCCTCCCTTCCTATAGCATTTTAGGATTGCAGATACCCTAATCTTATCGTCACAAACAGTCCCCGCACTCCGGACTGCTCGCCTTGACTACTTCCTTCACCACTTCCTACGTCACGGACCTGTTTCCCTCCCTTCCCATAGCATTTTAGGATTGCAAATACCTTAATCTAATCGTCATAAACAGTTCCCACACTCCGGACAGCTCGCCTTGACTACTTCCTTCACCACTTCCTACGTCACGGACCTGTTTCCCTCCCTTCCCATAGCATTTTAGGATTGCCCATACCCTTATCTAATCGTCATAAACAGTTCCCACACTCCGGACAGCTCGCCTTTACTACTTCCTTCACCACTTCCTACGTCACGGACCTGTTTCCCTCCCTTCCCATAGCATTTTAGGATTGCCCATACCCTTATCTAATCGTCATAAACAGTTCCCACACTCCGGACTACTCGCCTTGACTACTTCCTTCACCACTTCCTACGTCACGGACCTGTTTCCTTCCCTTCCCATAGCATTTTAGGATTGCAAATATCTTAATCTAATCGTCATAAACAGTTCCCACACTCCGGACAGCTCGCCTTTACTACTTCCTTCACCACTTCCTACGTCACGGACCTGTTTCCCTCCCTTCCCATAGCATTTTAGGATTGCAAATATCTTAATCTAATCGTCATAAACAGTTCCCACACTCCGGACAGCTCGCCTTTACTACTTCCTTCACCACTTCCTACGTCACGGACCTGTTTCCCTCCCTTCCTATAGCATTTTAGGATTGCAGATACCCTAATCTTATCGTCACAAACAGTCCCCGCACTCCGGACTGCTCGCCTTGACTACTTCCTTCACCACTTCCTACGTCACGGACCTGTTTCCCTCCCTTCCCATAGCATTTTAGGATTGCAAATACCTTAATCTAATCGTCATAAACAGTTCCCACACTCCGGACAGCTCGCCTTGACTACTTCCTTCACCACTTCCTACGTCACGGACCTGTTTCCCTCCCTTCCCATAGCATTTTAGGATTGCCCATACCCTTATCTAATCGTCATAAACAGTTCCCACACTCCGGACAGCTCGCCTTTACTACTTCCTTCACCACTTCCTACGTCACGGACCTGTTTCCCTCCCTTCCCATAGCATTTTAGGATTGCCCATACCCTTATCTAATCGTCATAAACAGTTCCCACACTCCGGACTACTCGCCTTGACTACTTCCTTCACCACTTCCTACGTCACGGACCTGTTTCCTTCCCTTCCCATAGCATTTTAGGATTGCAAATATCTTAATCTAATCGTCATAAACAGTTCCCACACTCCGGACAGCTCGTCTTTACTACTTCCTTCACCACTTCCTACGTCACGGACCTGTTTCCCTCCCTTCCCATAGCATTTTAGGATTGCCCATACCCTTATCTAATCGTCATAAACAGTTCCCACACTCCGGACTACTCGCCTTGACTACTTCCTTCACCACTTCCTACGTCGCGGACCTGTTTCCCTCCCTTCCTATAGCATTTTAGGATTGCAGATACCCTAATCTTATCGTCACAAACAGTCCCCGCACTCCGGACTGCTCGCCTTGACTACTTCCTTCACCACTTCCTACGTCACGGACCTGTTTCCCTCCCTTCCCATAGCATTTTAGGATTGCAAATACCTTAATCTAATCGTCATAAACAGTTCCCACACTCCGGACAGCTCGCCTTGACTACTTCCTTCACCACTTCCTACGTCACGGACCTGTTTCCCTCCCTTCCCATAGCATTTTAGGATTGCCCATACCCTTATCTAATCGTCATAAACAGTTCCCACACTCCGGACTACTCGCCTTGACTACTTCCTTCACCACTTCCTACGTCACGGACCTGTTTCCTTCCCTTCCCATAGCATTTTAGGATTGCAAATATCTTAATCTAATCGTCATAAACAGTTCCCACACTCCGGACAGCTCGTCTTTACTACTTCCTTCACCACTTCCTACGTCACGGACCTGTTTCCCTCCCTTCCCATAGCATTTTAGGATTGCCCATACCCTTATCTAATCGTCATAAACAGTTCCCACACTCCGGACTACTCGCCTTGACTACTTCCTTCACCACTTCCTACGTCGCGGACCTGTTTCCCTCCCTTCCTATAGCATTTTAGGATTGCAGATACCCTAATCTTATCGTCACAAACAGTCCCCGCACTCCGGACTGCTCGCCTTGACTACTTCCTTCACCACTTCCTACGTCACGGACCTGTTTCCCTCCCTTCCCATAGCATTTTAGGATTGCCCATACCCTTAACTAATCGCCATAAACAGTTCCCACACTCCGGACTACTCGCCTTGACTACTTCCTTCACCAATTCCTACGTCACGGACCTGTTTCCTTCCCTTCCCATAGCATTTTAGGATTGCAAATATCTTAATCTAATCGTCATAAACAGTTCCCACACTCCGGACAGCTCGCCTTGACTACTTCCTTCACCACTTCCTACGTCACGGACCTGTTTCCCTCCCTTCCCATAGCATTTTAGGATTGCCCATACCCTTATCTAATCGTCATAAACAGTTCCCACACTCCGGACAGCTCGCCTTTACTACTTCCTTCACCACTTCCTACGTCACGGACCTGTTTCCCTCCCTTCCCATAGCATTTTAGGTTTGCCCATACCCTTATCTAATCGTCATAAACAGTTCCCACACTCCGGACTACTCGCCTTGACTACTTCCTTCACCACTTCCTACGTCACGGACCTGTTTCCTTCCCTTCCCATAGCATTTTAGGATTGCAAATATCTTAATCTAATCGTCATAAACAGTTCCCACACTCCGGACAGCTCGCCTTTACTACTTCCTTCACCACTTCCTACGTCACGGACCTGTTTCCCTCCCTTCCCATAGCATTTTAGGATTGCCCATACCCTTATCTAATCGTCATAAACAGTTCCCACACTCCGGACTACTCGCCTTGACTACTTCCTTCACCACTTCCTACGTCGCGGACCTGTTTCCCTCCCTTCCTATAGCATTTTAGGATTGCAGATACCCTAATCTTATCGTCACAAACAGTCCCCACACTCCGGACTGCTCGCCTTGACTACTTCCTTCACCACTTCCTACGTCACGGACCTGTTTCCTTCCCTTCCCATAGCATTTTAGGATTGCAAATATCTTAATCTAATCGTCATAAACAGTTCCCACACTCCGGACAGCTCGCCTTTACTACTTCCTTCACCACTTCCTACGTCACGGACCTGTTTCCCTCCCTTCCCATAGCATTTTAGGATTGCCCATACCCTTATCTAATCGTCATAAACAGTTCCCACACTCCGGACTACTCGCCTTGACTACTTCCTTCACCACTTCCTACGTCGCGGACCTGTTTCCCTCCCTTCCTATAGCATTTTAGGATTGCAGATACCCTAATCTTATCGTCACAAACAGTCCCCACACTCCGGACTGCTCGCCTTTACTACTTCCTTCACCACTTCCTACGACGCGGACCTGTTTCCTTCCCTTCCCATAGCATTTTAAGATTGTAGATACCTTAATCTATTCGTCATAAACAGATTCCAGACTTCGCACTGCTACCCTTGACTACAATGTATTGAGTAATCTTCAGTATAATCTTTGCTAAATATTAACAAGTGATGTTTTTCCTTTTATACTGTATTTGTAATTTGCTAGTATACTGTGGGTAGTTGGCTTATTATGAACACATGCTACAACTTCAGGTCTTTTGTTTACTTTTTCCTTGTTATTTAATTCAGCCAACATGGTTACCTAGCAACCCATAAGACTAATGTTAAAAAAACGTGATTTTCAGTTTCATTTTTCTACGTAATTACATTTTTGTTGGCAGTTCTAACTGCAGTAAACTCGTTTTTAGGCCAGAAATAGACTATTTACAACATTTGAAGAAAATCGTCGGAGCCGTTTTCGAGATCTTGTTTGCAAGCAAGCAAGCATACATACATACATACAAGCAAACATTGCTCGTATTAGAGTATAGGATTTAACATCACAGAATCAAATTGTTTGTTGAACCAGCTGTTTCTTTATTTCCATTTAAATATGAGTAGGTCTAGGTACTCATAAGGATAACATGGGAAACTTCAGAGCCACTGGGGCAGAGTCCTTTTAACAGATCTGCACCAAACTTCACACAAACCATCCATGAATAACGCTTAATAATGCCTGAAAGTTTCATTACAATCTGTCGAGCGGTGTCAGAGTCCATAAAGGACAAACAGACAAACATACATTGGATTCTATATATGTAGATTTAATTTAATTCTTGTTTAGTGAACATCCACTAAACAACTTAACTAATAACACTAATAACTTTATGGTTCTCTGTATCATAAAGAGATTTTTTAATCACACTTTTAACAACTTTTTATTTTTTAATATACACTATATAATTTGATTTTACCCTCAGCTGGGCTATCTCCGTGTTCAGGAAAGGATCCAAGAAAGAGTTACAAGTAGAAGATCTATACGCTCCTCTCGAGGAACATAGATCAGGCAAACTAGGAGACAAACTTGGCAGGTATGTATTGTAACTGAACTCACACTGACAGTTGATAAGCTAATACCATTGACAGTACACCTGGAAGCATTAAGTGCCATGGACTGAAGAAGCGAATTTAGTCAAATGAGGTTTAAACGAGAGATCCAAGTAAAACCAACCAGAAAAACTGCTAGAATATAGGTTCTTTGAACATAGGTAGAAAATAGGTTCTTTGACCTATTTCAATTGGATTCTAGCTCTCTGAATAATTCTTTTGGGACAAACCTTATTCAGCTAATCAAACATTTTTATATAAATATATTTTTCTATAAAAAGGTGTACTGTACTCGTTTTTTCCGAGGAGTGATCATGTCTAAAATATGTTGCAAAAAAGTTTTTCCAGCATGGAGAACAGAGGAGCATGGAGTAAAACTTTGAGAGCGCCCTGCGCCCTTAAGCCTTATTGCAAACCTACGAATTGAGACAAATCTTTTTATACCTCAAATGTTGAAATTGGTCCACAAATAAAATCGGCTTCACGCATCACGTGTCTCACGAGAGGTGTCTCAAATTGATTACGAAGAAACTGCTTAACGTACAAGGGCACTAGCCTAATGGTCCCATTTCAGAAAATAATTTTTAGTGTTAAACCCAAATAACATGCATTTGATATAGGAACATTAGGTTTTTTGTTATTTACACAAAAACTAAAAGAGATACGAAGTAAGTGTAAATTACAAAGTTGTTCAGAATTAAAAGACCTAAAAATGATGTGCCTTTTGACATATGTTTCTATTTGAAAATTATGAACAACGGACATTATTTTGCAAATTTTCAAAAATAATTTTTTTTTTAATTTTTGTCATTTCAAAAAACCTTTACTTGTAGCATATCATAGTAAAGCTAATTTCATAACGAGTAAGATCATTCAAACGGAGAAGGGCTGAATGCATTGGTATATGAAACACAGAGTATTAAAAAATATAGATTTAAAAAAAAAAAAACTGCCGCTGTGTAAGCCCTCTGTCCAATACGCTTTTTAAATTTCAGAATTTGTGCTGAATTCTGTTGTCAATCATCTGAAATTTTTCAAGTTTACAATTAGTACACATCAAATCAGATGCTCATGATACAATTTTGTTTAAACATCCATACAAAAATGGGGTTATCATTACAGTTGGTGATGTTTTAATGTAATTTTTATAAAATGTAAAAAAGAAAATGACTAAGGTAGATTTTGTGTTTTCATAGTATGTTTTATTAGTATTTGTAATTTTTCTAAGATGCCACAAAGAGATCGTGCACACAATGCAAATAATAGGGATATGATGACAAATAATCGTTTTCACCCTTATCATAGTCTTATAAGTCACAAGTTCACATAGATACTTATGATAAGTTCACATAGACTTATCATAGTTGATCATCTAGATAGTTGTATCATAGATTTTGAAGTCACAAAGTGACACTGGCTGCTAGAAATATACTACTAAAAAAAAAAACTTAAACCAAATAGCAAAATTCTATGTTTTGGTGTTAAAACAGAGAAAAATTCAATTTCAACCCCATAAAACCTTGTTCCCATAGTCAAATCAAGCTGGTTTACCAACTTGCTTGAGTACATGTAGATTTATAATATTTATTCAAAATTGGATGATTTTTTACTTGAATTATCCGACACATGATGTATTTGAACAGATTGTATTTTGGCCTCTCTTTGTACATCAAAATTAAAAAGGAAATCCTATTTGTCTGGTCATGAGATCTATGGAAATAGACTATTTCCTTTTATAAGAATTCAAGAATTCACTAAAACTGAAAATAACCTTTAAGATTATGTAAGATGATTGTAGTTTTACACTGTAAGCCATTTAAAACTATAATTTTACGATTTGTCCTTTATTGTTTGCAGATCATGGCAAAGAGAACTTGATATGTCGAGGCACAAAAGTAAAAAACCCAGCTTGGTCAGAGCTTTGACTAGAACATTCGGACCGAGAATGTTGCTTTTTGGGTTAATCATGGTGATAGGGGATGTCTTTTTGAGGTAAGGACGGTAAGGTTAGGTTCATTAATCTAATTAATTTTACTACTTTACTGATTTGCAAGTTAATATAATAAATAATATCCCCGCCACAGCAAGCCTGCAGACTAAGTGAATTTCCATTTACTTGATTCGATTTTCATTTATCTATTTAAGTAACATTAGGATTAACGAGTACCTAGGTTTTTGTTACAGGGAGGATAAAGCGTTTTTTTTTTATATTAATAGCTCAGTATAAAATAAATAAATTTGCCAAGTTTTATCAAAATATATCCAATTTTGATAAACAAGCATAGCAACAGTTTACTTTATGTTCCATTAGAATAACATGGGAATTTTGAATTTAGAGTTTTTGTATTTTCTCTATAACCATTAAGAGCATGAAAACACTTAAATATACTATATTATTTGTTTTTTAAGCTCGACAAAATAGTTTAGAAAGAAATTGCAAAATGTTAGCAACAAAATATAAAACAGATGTATATATTTTATTGATTTCGTGACTTTTATATTAGTTTGAGGTACAAAATTTAAAGCAAGAGCCTTGAAAAGTGCCTTAAAACTTCTACGAGTGTCGTTAAGACTATTTACGCAAGTTGCGTACACTACTTTACCTATGACCGCTTTTTAATTACCCTCACTCTCCACTCTCCACTCTCCTCACTACCACCATTACACACGGAACTGACACAAACACACACACACACACACACAGTCTCTCTCTCTCTCTCTCTCTCTCTCTCTCTCTCTCTAAGAAATAGGAATAGAAGAAATAATAAAGAATTAGGATGGCTTAAGATTAAGGAAAGGGTAGAGTACAATGTTTTGTCCTTGATGTATAAAATTTTAGAAGATAAAAGACCAGACTATTTATATGAAAAATATGTTTTGATGAGACAAGTTCATTTGAGACATACTAGATTTAGTGACAATTTGCTACAAATACCTATACATAGAACAACAATTTATAATAGGTCATTTCATGTACAAACAATAAGATTAGTCAACAAGCTGAGTGACAGCCTAAAAACTGCTACAACTAGTGCATCATTCAATAGAATGTTAAAGAAAACCCTTTTATTAAGATATTAAGCCTTTTTTCTCTATCTCTCTATATTAAAACACTACTTTATTTTCACCAAACATGTATAAAACGAAGCTAATTTTGTTATCTCTCATTGAAAAATAATTTAAAAAATAAATAAAAATTTAAATGTATCTATAGATTAGAAGCAAACATGTTTTGTGTTTTGTAAATATTTTTTATTTTTAGGTTTACAATTTGTAAAAGCAATTTTCTTTTCTTTATCTTTTAGTGATAAGGTAGTTAAGTTGCCAAGCCACAACTGACATGTAATTGATGTTTGTACAGATTGTCTAAGTCTGGTCTGGTGTAAGAGTGGACCTTTGGTCCAAACCAGACCAGGGTAAATAAAGAAATTGTCAAATTGTCAAATTGTCTCTCTCTCCTGGCCACCACGAAATCAATGCGCAGACTCACCAGCGCTGTGTTCATGAAAATACTTTTACATACATCACTAATAATAACAACCCTTTTATTTTTAATTGCCATTCCACAAATTCATAATTTACTTTTTTCTATTTGACAGCAACTTAGCAGACGCACAGGTAGCCTATGTCTGCTAGTTCCATTTGTTTATTGTAGAATATTGTGGCTCATTAAAACTTGTATGTATTTTACTATTTTTAGTGTCATAAGTCTCTGTTAAGTATATTTGATTTTATAATCACTGTTTGTAGCCAATGCTTTTTGGAATAAACTATATATTCATTCATTCATTTAGTTGAAGTTTGAAGCATTACAATTTTACTTCTCTCCTCTCAATCTTCGAACCTCATTAGTCCGTTACTCGTGTGTTGTTAAGTAAAACAATGCTGTTAAGTAATTAAACAATGCTAATTAAGTGAATCTTTTCAATTCTAATAAGTAAACTGAAACAGCTTAAACACATAAGAATTTTTTTTTTACCTGTTATCAGGCCTTTTTGCTTATCCGCCTTGCAGGAATTAAATTAAGATTTCTTGGCATTCTTGGCCACTTCTCAATTATTGAGACTACTATGCATACATTTTTGCAAAATCTTTTTAGAAAGGGAGGTCTATGAATAATATAGCCTATAAAATGCTGTTTCATTGCGTTTTGCCTCAAACAGTCTGTTATGGGTATTTTAAGTCACATATTTTGATTACTTTCCTGTAGGTTTAAATTTACGTATTATTTTTCAACAATGATATCTGTTCTTGCTTGTCAGGATAGCTCAGCCACTGTTACTGGCTCGTATGCTACAACACTTCTCCCCCGGAGGCCATGAAACCACCAGTCGTGAAGCTGCGTGTTGGTACGCGCTAGGAGTCGTCGTCTGCACAGCCAGTAGTGTCTTCATCACCAATCCCCTCTGGCTCGGGTTGTTGCACCTGGCGATGAAAATGAGAGTGGCTTGCTGCTCAATTGTCTATAGGAAGGTAGGTTAATTAATTCTATAAGTCTTAGAATTACATGATTAGTATAAAATAAGCTTTATGTTTTAAGTCCATAGGTTAACACACATGAGTCAATGTTGCAACAACTGCAACATTTTATTTTATTTTATTCAGTAATTTTCAACAGTTTATTATATTCAAAAAACTTGAATTTTACGGTATTACAGGTGAAACTTTAAACATTTTAAGATCCTATTTAACCAATAGAAAACAGTATGTATCTGTTGGAGGCAGTCATTCTGACTTAAGATTGGTTGAAGTAGGTGTTCCACAGGGCTCAGTTTTGGGACCCTTCTTGTTTTTAATCTCGATAAACGACCTGCCGAAGAATGTTGATGTAGACACTGTTGTGTATGCTGATGACACAACTTTGATTGCAATACATAGAGATATCCATGAGCTTGATTTAATTACTAATGAATCAATAATGTCAGCACTAAATTGGTTTTCCTCAAATAAATTGATGTGTAATCAAGAAAAAACTCAGAGAATTCTTTTGAGTCTATCCCCACTTGATAATGAATTAAAATCAGTAAAATTGTTAAGATTCCAAATTGATTCAAAATTAAATTGGCAAGAACACATAGAAATCACATGTAAAAAAATTTCCAGAGTAAATTATCTAATTTGGAAACTCAGAGATTTTGTTAGTAATGAATACCTTCGGACTACTTATTTTGGTTTTTTTCAATCGCATATTTCTTACGGGATTATACTTTGGGGACACTCCCCCCACACCCATGAAATTCTTTTATTGCAAAAAAAAGTTCTACGAACAATCTGTGGGGTTGGCCCTGTGGATAGCTGTAGACTTTTTTTTATAAACCTTAAAATTTTGACTGTAGTAAATTTGTATATTTTTCCCATACTCCTCTACAGTAAAGCTAATCTACATCAATTTACTTGTAGAGACAGTATACACTCTTACAATACAAGAGGCAAATCCAATCTAGAAATCCCTGCCCATAGATTGGCCAAAACACATAACTGCCATAAAATAAATTGTATACGGTTTTTTAATAAATTAGGTCTGGCAGCCAAACTGGTTCCTTTTAATAGGTTTAAGTCAAAAATGTTTGAGTGGCTCATCAAAAATCCATTTTATTGTATAACAGAATATTTACTTTCTAATGTTGACATTGATTTTTAATATAGAACCCACTACTGTATTTTTTATAGTTTTTATAGTTTTAGTTTTGACTATGTCTATTCCTTGTAAAAGGTCAATGACAATAAAGTTCTTGATTCTTGATTCTTGATTCTTGATTCTGGTACGAACCATAAACACATGAATAATGATATTGATGGCAATAAAGGATGATTCGATTTGAATTGATATTTGAATCTGTTACATATAAAATCACCCCATAATATCCTAGCAAATGTATATATGAACTTATAACGCTTGAAAAAAGGCTTGAAAAATATATTTTAGGATGGGTTTATTGGATTGGTTAGAACTTGACTTTTCGAGTGTTATACTTTGCAGAGTTGTAACTTCAAGGATCGCTGTTCCTGCTCCACTAGATACCATGGATTTGTAGTATTGTTGCGCTACTGATGATACAAATTGAAATATTAAGTCATAACATCTAAGGTGAACAAATAAAGAAACATTCCATTATTTTAAACCTTCAGGTCATAGACGTAAGCTTAAAATGTTTTCAGCTGGTAATTTGTTAAAAAATCCAAATGTTATATGCTTTAAAAAATAATCAATTTTATATTCCATTACAGAGCCTGCGGCTCAGCAAGATGTCACTGGGAAAGACGACAGTGGGACAGGTGGTAAACCTGATGACCAACGATGTTAACCGGTTTGACATGGGAATCATTTTTGTTCACTACTTGTGGATCGGACCTCTCACCACATTGGTAGTGATGTACTTCTTGTGGATAGAGATCGGAGTGGCTGCACTGGTCGGGGTGGGAGCACTGCTTGTGTCAATTCCAGCGCAAAGTAAGTTTGGCAACTATTAACAGTGAAAGCAGTTGAACAGGCCAACAAATATTACTCAGTGTATGAAGTAATCAAAAATATATTCATGAAAAACAATAAATCACCTCATTTCTCTTATAGAATTAGGATATTTATTTCCAGTATTCATAGGGTTAATTTGTTAATTATATACAGACTGTCCCAAAAGTCCCGGACCGGTTTAATATTTTCTAAACGACACCAGATAAGTCAATAAGATTTGGTACACAACACTACACCTAAAAATCTACTTTTTTAAGGAAATATCAATTTTCTGTCATATCATGGGGACGTCCCGCAAGGAGTCAGAAGGAAATCTTAAATAGAAGCATAGGTTGACATGTACATCAAATTAAAGGTCTTTACTAGCAGAATATTATGCCGCAAATTTGAACTCAAACGGACAACCGAGCCAAGAATGACAGTGGTTCAAAGATTCATTTAATTTGCATTGCTATTATACGCTTACTCCTCAGGGGGCACAGCCCTAAGAATCGGAAGAAAATTTTTAACGTAAGCATAGGTCGATATGCACATCAAATTAAAGGTCTTCACTAGTAGATTACAATGCCGTAAATTCAAGCTCAAAAGAACGCCTGAGTAAAAAATGGCAGTCGTTCAAAGATTCAAAATGGCTGATTTAAGAAATATTTGAACAGATGCCATTTTTTACTCAGTTATCCGTTTGAGTTCAAATTTGCAGCATTATATTTTGCTAGTAAAGGTCTTTAATTTGATGTACATGTCAACCTATGCTTCTATTTAAGATTTCCTTCTGACTCCTTGCGGGACGACGTCCCCATGATATGACAGAAAATTGATATTTCCTTAAAAAAGTAGATTTTTAGGTGTGGTGTTGGTATACCAAATCTTATTGATTTATCTGTTGTCGTTTGGAAAATATTAAGCCGGTCCGGGACTTTTGGGACAGTCTGTATATATTTTTAGGGTTAGGCTACTGGGGAAAACTTCTTTACGATAATTTGACTTCATACATTATGAATATTTATAGATTAAGTGTTTTAAACATAAGCATTTTGAATCCTTTATTTGATTTTTAATTAGAAATAGAGAAAGGATATGACAATAAATATGCTTTCGATTCCCAAAAAAAATGTACACTTAGTTATGTGTGTAGGGTCGCTAGTCAAGTGCCTAGAATGGTAAATGGAAATAAATATACAGTATAGGTAATTGAAATTCTTCTATCCTATTGCTATTTTCACTTTTACGGGCAGGAGAAAAAGCAGTAATGTCAATAAACAGTATGTGGAAATTCACTAGAATTAGAATTGATATTGGTAGATTCCTGTATCCTTTATGAAGAATAAACTTAATTACAATTCATTATTTTTATTGCAGATTTTGTGCTAGTTATAAATATTTTTGATAGCATAGCTTTAATTTTATTGAAAGTGATATTATTTTGAATTACATCAATTACAACCTTATTTTTTGTCATTTTTTTGTTTTTTTCTTTTTAAAGTTTTTTTTAGTCTGTAGATACTATTTGTTTCAGTGTGGCTTGGAAAGCAGAAGTCAGTTTACCGCTTGAGGACAGCCAAAAGAACGGACGAGAGAATTTGTCTCATGAGTGAAATTATAAATGGAATTTCAGTGATTAAGATGTACACATGGGAAAAACCATTTGAAAAACTTGTGGCTGAAGCTAGAAGGTTTGTCTTAAAGTTGTATCACTAGCTTGTATTTCGTACTGAGTTTTTTTATGTTTTTTTTTTGTATTTTTAATACAGAAAGCTTAGAGACATCTATATTAACTGTGAACTTGATTAGAGGTTTAAAACAAGATTGTCAAACAACAAAATCATCTAATATTTCTTCTGGGCGTTAAAGTTACACCACATAATTAAATATTTAGTTATCTTTGGGCTAATTCTGTTTACCTAGATTGATTTTTTGGAAAATTGAAAAAAAATCTAAATAAAAATTCTATTGTCCCAAAGATTGTTATTCACTTATATGTATAAAAAAAAAGAAATATTATGAAAAAAAAAACTGTGTTGAAAATACACTCAAGCTATACACTATCCTCTATCCTTTAAATTTTGATTTTATGATATTTAAGTTTTTCCGTTGCATTTGTTATCACTGAACTGTATTGCTGTTAACTCTTCAAGTCATCTCTTATATTTCAGCCTTCATGATTAACATCTGAAAACCTTCAACTATAATCATTTATGTGATTTTCACAACTATTGTTCGGATAAGTTAATGGTAGATATGTGAGTTTTTAACCAGTTTACAGGTAAACAATGTTTTTTTCAATTTATGATTTTAGACTTGAAATAAAAGAGATAAGAGGAAGCTCTTACATAACAGGAGTAATGTTGTCATTCCTTCTCTTCAACAATAGGCTGGCAATCTTCTGTGCTATAGTCACGTACGTTCTCATGGGAAATCTGATCACAGCTTCCATCGTAAGTTCCAAAATTTACATGTGAACAAAATACTTGATATTAATGATTAAAATTTAAAAATCACTTAACTTGATCAATATATCTTTGTAAACAATGTCTGATAATTTAACAATGAAGATGGATTTTATGTGAGCTTTGGCTACTAATACTACGTTCACAAATTTTAGGCGGTTTGAGGGAAAGCAATTTCAACCACTCCGCCTAACTTTAACTTTCAAACAAATGCTGACAGCTGATCAGCTGATATCGACAATGGTCAATGATTAAACTTTAAAAATTGGTCTGGAAACCCAGAAAATCTTCTCCTAGGACTGTAGTCTAATTTTTACGGTTAAATAATAATTTTTTTTTGTTTGGGGGGGGATTAATCTAATAATTGGAGTTTTGTCTGCTGTTAATGAAATTGAACTGTAATAAAAAATCAAATAGCCCTAGTTTTAAGGTGTTGCTCGTGTTCTCAAATAAATTGATTTATAAATACTTAATACTTTTTACTTTGAAATGGCAACCATACAAATGTAGGTATTTTAGCCAAATATGAATGGAGTTGAGTATAGGATAAGTGGTGCGATCTTGTAGTCTTGTAAGTCACTAATGCCGACATATTCCTTAGACACAGCTGTTAATTACTTACTTACTCCTGTGGCCATTTGGAAACCTAGGTGGTTTTTGGCCTCGCCAACCATGTGCCTCCAAGCTCTTCTATCCTCTGCCAGCTCCAAGTCTGCTCCCATTCTTCTCAAGTCCTTCGTCACCTCATCAACCCATCGCATTCTTGGTCTACCTAATGGTCTTCTTCCTTCTGGTATACCTCTGAGTACCATCTTTACCATCTCTCTCTCACTTCTACGGTTAATATGGCCCATCCATCTCAACCTCCTACTCTTAACTATTCCCACAATATCTGGTTCACCATATAATTCTTTTAACTCTCTATTTTTCCTTATCCTCCATGCATTTCCTTCTTTTACTGGTCCAAAAATTCTTCTCAAAATTTTGTTTTCAAAAGTAATAAGGCGCTTCTGGGATTTTTTGGTAAAAGACCAAGTTTCTGACCCGTATAGATTAATTAATAGCTTTAAAATATTTCAATAATAATTTATGTAAAAACATATCCAGTCATTGGACGAGAATGAAGTATTATTAATTTTTTTCATCTATAGTTGAGCTTATGCGTCTAGCTGGTTTGGTACTACTGTATAAGATTAAATATGTCTAGAGTGATTGTAAAAAATTCTATTGTTTAATGGGTTCTATGTTCTATCTTGATTAAGTTTTTGTAATGTTTAGGTTTATGTAGTAACCTGTTACTTTACCCTAATTCGCCAAATGATGTCAGATTTTTTCCCACTTTCTATCGGTTTGACTGCAGAAATGGTTGTCAGCATCAAAAGAATTGAGGTGAGTTAATACAAATAACATTTCTATATCTGCAGATTTGACTGATAAATATCACTTACAAATTAATTTTGAAGCAATTATGAAAAAAAAAGATTTTACCTGAGGAAACCCTACAACTATGAAATTTTTATTCTAAAAATCATTCAGTTTCTGTATGCAAACTATGTTCATTTTATTGATTTAATACCTTGTACATTTATAGGAATTGTGTGTTTTATCATCCCGCAGTAAAATTACTGTTTTTGGACTCAGCTGATGTGACCAAGATTTATTTTTTGTGCTTGCATAATTAATTGCTTTGGTTTACAAGAGTGTAAACACAGATATGTTATATAAGTGAGATGAGAGAATGAAGCAGAACTGTCTTCTGGGAATATTTTAGAAACAAATTTTTGAAACAATTAAAAAAATTCAAACCGTTTTTGACTTTTCAATACTTTTGCTTTTTTTGTGTTGGACACATGGATTTTTGCGGGTACAGGGAGGGGATCAGGGACGGTGTATTTAGAGGAATACTGGCTATCGTTTGAGTTCAAGAAGCAGTAATATTTACTGAAAAGAATGAAAAGTTTAATACAAAACTTAACTATTTTCTGTCATTCAACAAATATGCATGTAATATGGAAAAGCATCAGGACAATTATATCTAATGAATGGCTGAAGCTTATTCAAAACTTACAACACCCATTGTGATTTGTTTCAGAAATTCATGCTGTACGATGAAATTGAAGGAGAGAAAATAGTCGAAAACGGAAAAGTAAACCTATCTTATAACGACTTGGATGAGAAAGAAGTAAAACTTTCACCACCAGAAATAATAGAATACAACGGCACCGACGCAGCTAAAGGTGGTGTTACGTTGACAAACATTTCGGCAAAGTGGAGTGAAGATAGTTCTGAAGAAACGCTTAGCTGTGTAAATGTGAATTTTCAACCAGCAACATTATCAGTGGTCATTGGCCCAGTTGGATCTGGAAAGGTAATTAGTTAAACAATCGAGGCGAAGCTGATGAGTTCGGAAAATGAGCAAGAGTGATAATAATGACCAGGGCCGGTTCTAGGAATTTTTCAGAGTTAAGCGAACACCCGAATCAGCGCCACTTAGGATTCCCCCCACCACCCCCCCCCCCTGAACCAATAACATGACATAACCGTATTTGTGAATTTTTTCCCATTAATTTTTGGAAGGACTTTTTTATAAGTTTAGGTTAGGAGAATACTTGCAATAAAAGACTCGCATAAATTTAACATTTTTACACTTTTACTCATCATATAAACTTTAGCAAAACCAAGGCCACACTAAAATACCCCCGCCGCAGCAAACCTGCAGACTAAGCAAATTTCCATTTGCCTGATTGGATTTAGACTAAAATGTCTCCTTAAAAATATCACATTTATTCCCTATTTAAATAGAATCAGTTTAACACATACTTAGGTTTGCTGCAACAGGGAGGGTAAAAGTGTTTTTTTATGTAAAATGTTAATAGTTAGTAAGAAATAAAAACATTTTCCAAATTTGGGCAAAATATGTTAATAAACAAGCACACTACAACGGTTTACTTATTCTCCATAAGAATAACATGGGAATTTTAAATTAACAATTTTTTGGAATTTTCTCCGTAACCATTAGGCGCATTATAACGCTTCAATATACTAAATTATTTGTTTTTTTTAAGCTCTAAAAAATAGTTTGGAAAGAAATTTCAAAATTTTATGTTTTTTTGGTCAAAAATAGGAAAAACCCATTTTTACCCCATAAAAGCCCCCAATAAACCCCTGTTCCCATAGTCCGATCATGCTGGTTCGCGAACTCGTTCGAATAAACGTAGGTTTACACGTTTGTACCAAGTTTCATCAAAATCGGATCATTTTTGCTCGAGTTATCGCGCTAACGGACACATATATAAATATATATAAATATATATACAGGGTGAGTTTTAATTGTCCCCCCCCCCAACTTTTTTCTACATTTTTTCAAATATCAATCCCAGACCACTTCCAAACATTGTTGGGTAGTAAGTACTTCATTTTGACAAGGTGGTCATTTCCGGCCGCCATCTTGGATCCGCCATATTGGATGCAAAACTTTTTTTTCAAATGTAAAGGTGGGATTGTGACCAATTATCTCGAACTACATTTTTACCCTGATTACAATGCCGCAAACCGTTTTTAAAAATCTTGATTCATTCAAAAGTTACGAGGGCTTTTTAAAACTTTATTTTTAGCCCATTTTAACATTGTGCATTTACAAACTAAGACCATAATCCCAAAATAGTGCTAGATAATGATAAGTATACACTACCAGTAATTGTCCACCTATTTTCACTTGGTTATGACTGATGTATTTTTTTCGGCCGCCATCTTGGATCCGCCATTTTGAAATGTGATAAATTATTTTAAATATGAAGGGGGTGTCGTGACCCATCATTTTGAACTACTTTTTTAAGCTTAACTCAATGCCGCAATCCATTTTTTGTTATCATGTTTTATTTATGAAATATTTAAATTTTTTTGTTAAAAATGTCAGTATTTCAAAATCAAAAAATGAAAATGAAAAACAGATTATGGAATTAAGTTCAGCTTAAAAAAGTAGTTAGAAATGATGGGTCACAACACCCCCTTCATATTTAAAATAATTTATCACATTTCAAAATGGCGGATCCAAGATGGCGGCCGAAAAAAATACATCAGTCATAACCAAGTGAAAATAGGTGGACAATTACTGGTAGTGTATACTTATCATTATCTAGCACTATTTTGGGATTATGGTCTTAGTTTGTAAATGCACAATGTTAAAATGGGCTAAAAATAAAGTTTTGAAAAGCCCTCGTAACTTTAGAATGAATCAAGATTTTTAAAAACGGTTTGCGGCATTGTAATCAGGGTAAAAATGTAGTTCGAAATAATGGGTCACAACCCCACCTTTACATTTGAAAAAAAAGTTTTGCATCCAATATGGCGGATCCAAGATGGCGGCCGGAAATGACCACCTTGTCAAAATGAAGTACTTACTACCCAACAATGTTTGGAAGTGGTCTGGGATTGATATTTGAAACAATGTAGAAAAAAGTTGGGGGGGGGGGACAATTAAAACTCACCCTGTATATATAAATATATATATATATGAATTTGAACGGATGGTGTTTTTGGCCTCTAGGGACCTCAAAACGGAAAAAAATCGGTCCCGGGTCCAGGTCTTACCATGAGTACTACGGTAATAGCTTATTCCCTATGTGGGAAATTCGCTAAAAAACAGGCCGTAATCAAGGCCACACTAATGCTCGTCAAGCAGATAGAAGACGGCAATGACGTAATGTTTACCGTTTGTGATCAGCTGCTTGTTTTCATCTTTCCTTGGAAAATAAATAAATAAATACCTACGTCATTGCCGTCTTCTATCGTGACTTCTTTGGGCTGACTGGACTCGCCACCAGATGATTTAAACAAAAATCTACTCATTGATTTGGCTTGTTTTTCATCTTCCTCTTCCAAATTCGCCTTACCCTTTTTAATTGCCAGACGTTTTTTTTCTGCCATTGTTTTTTTAGTATCGGCTCGCTAGATGTTTTACTCATTTATTCAGTTTACACTTTCTTCTTATTTAATGCGCTAATTATAAATTATACTTAAAACACTCGTAATCATTCACTTATCAACAATCATGAATCATCAAAACAACGTCATTACGATACCGATACACGCTAATACACTAAAAGAGTGCAATGCAACGTAGTGCTCTGCTCTAGGATAAGAGTCAGAAGGGAGGGAAGGGAGGGGAAAGTTTCTTGTTGTGACAATTGGCGCTGCGCGCTTGCTTATCTCATCTCGAGCATGAGTGAGTGAGTCGTGAAATGAAATCCACAGGCGCTGCGCCATACGCTGCCGAGCGTCAGCTCACTACAAAATTGAAACTGCAAATTAATGGCATTGAGTCCTTGAGTTGTAGTGCTGTACAAATATACCCTACACATTTTTCAAGTGCTGTTGGTACAAACAGAATAAATGCCTTTATTGTGGTATATTTGAGCTCTGAGCGAAAATAAACAAAATTATGTTGTTCACGTAAAAAAATTGTTCCGTTGGCGCCACGGCGCCACTTTTTCGTGGCGCCATATGCGGCTGCGTAGTTCGCGTATGGTTTAAACCGGCCCTGATAATGACGCTATTTTAGTGAGAAAAAATGTAAGTTAGATAGCATAATGAGACTGGTACCTAAAAAATAAACACATAATGCTTTCTTTGTTGGATGTTAATTTTAGGTACCTAATGATGAGTTCATGTTATTTGTAGGATATTAAAGAGATTTTCCATCATGATTAGTAAAAGGAGTTTTCACAATGTTTTGAGAATTGAAATCTTATCCCGTCTTAAGATAAAAAATTACCTTAAAGAAGACAGGATCATTACAGTACAAACCCCGCCTAATACTGGAGAACCACACAGAAACTGTACTGTTATGTAGTTGTAGTTATACAAGAAAGAACAATTTAGAAACAGGGGTAAGTGAAGACAATAGACTTTTCTGTATCAGCTCATTATATTTACATGCATGTGTAAATTGTGATGTTGATTGTTACAGTCTTCTCTGTTGCAAGTTGTACTCAAAGAGTTGCCAGTCTGCGCAGGATCTGTACAAGTCCGAGGCTCTGTGTCTTACGCAGCACAGGAGCCATGGCTGTTTGATGGCAGTGTGCGTCAAAACATCATATTTAGCAGCGAGTACGATGAGAGTCGATATCAGGCGGTTAGTAAATAATAATATCAGAAATTGACCCCCATCCCTGTTTCTGAAACTTTTCTCATCAACATTTTAATAGCTAATTGTATGATTTGATTTGCAAATTAATATTTTTTTATTTTAAATTCAATCATAATTGGACTTTCTCAGTATTAAAAAATACTTTCCAATGAAGACAATACCTGCAGCCTTCTTTTTATTCAATTCACATATTATTTATTACATCTATAATTTATTATTTCACTTTGAACATCTGTATTTTATTAGAAACTGTTTATGCTAGTTTGTTCATGTGTGAAATATTAGTAGTGAGTCGGTGGCTCAGTCGGTAGCGTCGCGGACTTTGGGCCCAAGGCAGCGATGTCGTGGGTTCGGATCCTGGTCACTGCCGATAACATTTTATCAGTACAGTTCACCTTTGTACTGTACCGGCTCACTCCTTGCTTTGCTGTAAACGATCCACGCACGGGCGCTTAGTCTATGTGGACGGGCAAATGCAAGGTTAAAAGAGGCCGCCAACCTCTTTTTTAAAAAAAAAAAAAAAAAAAAAAAGTAAACAAAGATGGCTTAGATCCTATTTCAGTTTTAAGGAACTCAGGAGGAGTTCGGCCTGTCTGGGTCAGAGGCATGGTCGGAGAGTTCTAACTAATATTTGAGTAAATGGCGAGGTAAAGGGTTGACAGAATGTTTTAATTCCCCTGATCATTTTGCTACTATTTACTTGTCCCTACTGAGTTTTTGTCTGCCAAAAACGTGTCGTATAAGAATTTGGAATGTTCTTTTCAAAGTATGGAAAAAATTTAGAAATATATCCCCTAGGGTGGAAAGAGTTTAATAAACTGTCCGTAAATTATTTCCAGCTGATGTTAATGAAATTAGTTTCAAGATTTCCATTTTGCACGTCTATTAAGTAAAATTTAAGACTACTTAGGCAATTAAATAATAATTACCGTACATTTTAAATTCCGAAGTCTTAAAAGATTCAGTTTCTCAACATTGTGCTAATGATATTAACGTATACAGGTTATAAATGTTTGTGCCTTGCGTACAGACCTTTCTCAGCTGCCCCACAGCGATCAGACTTTGGTAGGAGATCGTGGCGTTGTGCTCAGTGGCGGCCAACGAGCCCGCATCAACCTGGCCAGGTGAGCTTATAAAGAAAATCTACAGGGTGGCCGAAAAGTCTCTTAACACAATATTGCAGTGTGTATTACAATGTTATAATCACGACTAATCAGCAAATATTCGTGCGTGAGTAGTAATGGAACTTGGGAGGAGAGAACGAAGCCTTACTCTCTCTTCCCAACCCCCGCCACAGCCCTAGGACGTGGCGACACCCAGTAGAGAGTAAGGGCGGCGTTTGCACGAGTCCCGCCCAGAAATGCTGAAATGCATTTGACAACGAACTTGGCACCAAGTCAAGCTTCCGAGACAATGGTGGTATACATGCCGATGTTTTGGACTAAAAATTATGTTCATTTGGTGTAGTCCACAATAAATTTCTCATTAAAACAGATTTCTACGGTTTTAATCAACACCAATTGAATTTACCTTTAGTGTTAAAGGGACTTTCGGCCACCCTGTATATAATGCCTTTAGGAATTTGAGACATCTACGTATTCAGACTATTGTCCTTTTTACTATTGTTTGTTAGGATAACAGGCTTACAGTATCTGAATGTGTATGGTTCCACTCTAGCATAAAAACAAATCTTTATATTTTTTTTTTATAAGACTTTGTTAAAAATAAGATTATTTCCGTGTCAACATTAAAATTTTAGTGAGTAGTGTAAAGTGTTTTGCATTTCTTATACCATAGTGGGCTCTTTCCCATTCAGGTAAGCCAGAAAATCCTAAAAAATCCTGGATTAAAATATCCTGAATAAAAACCCTAACAAAAATAATGAAACCTCTGTAATAAGGAGTTGTCATCAACATATGATTTCTTAACACACATGGTTTATGTTATTGTTTTTAATGTTTATGTTTATATATTTTTCATTCAGTTAAAATGGTTGAATAAAATGGGTTGTACAGTTCCTTGTATCTTGTTATTATATAATTTCAGGACGTGATAACTGGCGACGAGGAAAACCAAAATGGAGTCAACTGACATTACATCACATTTAAACAGTTACAAAAGGATAAGAACGTCAATCAAGGCACAATTGACTAAATTAACAAACAAGCTGAACAATCATGAAATTGATCCTAGGCAAGTTGACGAACGTCTAGAACTTCTGGACTCAACATGGACTAAATTTCTTGAAGTACAAGAGAAAATAGAACTAATAATAAACGACACAGAACTGGATGAAGAAGTAAATTACAAGATGGACATTGAAGAAGTATTCATTAAGTTGAAGATTATGTTGAGGCAGTTGAAACCTATTTCACTTTCGAATACAACTCAAGAAATCAATGGTAATGCAAGCAACTCTACTGGCAATACAGCTTCAACATCCCATATTTCATTTGTACCTTTCAGTGAAGATGAATCTTTTGACAATTTTACAAAAAGACTTGAAGTACTTATGCACCTGAAACACATATCAGACGAAACTACAAAGACATTCACGCTACTTAATGCCCTACCTCCTACGTTACATCAAAAGCTCTGAAGAGACCCCAAGATCACACAGAAATGCCCGACGGATGTACTAAAATCAAAAGAGAGTTTCGGGTGGGGGACAGAGTTCAGGTGCGCAATTTCGGGAAAGACGGAAAGTGGAAATTTGGAAACGTAAGAAGGAGAGAAGGATTGGTGCATTATCAAATCGAGATGGACAATGGGCAGGTTTGGAGAAGGCACATTAACCACATTCGGCCGTGTAAATTTGAGGGGGAGGATTAATAAGGAGTTGTCATCAACATATTATGATTTCTTAACACACATGGTTTATGTTATTGTTTTTAATGTTTATGTTTATATATTTTTCATTCAGTTAAAATGGTTGAATAAAATGGGTTGTACAGTTCCTTGTATCTTGTTATTATATAATTTCAGGACGTGATACTCTGCTACGTGCTTTATGCTACATATTTTAACCATTGGTGTAACCATAAATAATTACCGTATTTAGAAACAAGTTTGAGTTAAATACAATTTTTCCAAATATTCCTAAAGCAAATGTTTAATTTGGTGATAGTGAGTTTTACTTTATGACCAGAAATATTGCAGACATATTCCACCATGAAAAAAGTAAAAAGGAGGTTAGATATTAGATTTTCCCATCAATTCTGTGCTGAGATAGGAACATTAACCACAGTTTGGACTAAAACCGCAAAAGGAATGTAGTTAATTATAATAACAGCTGATTTTTCAGAGCAATCTACAGAGAAGCAGATGTTTATTTACTGGATGACCCACTATCTGCAGTTGACACTCATGTGGGAAAACATCTGTTTGAGCAATGCATTTCAGGTTTGTACATTTTAAATTGGACGAAAAAGATTAGATTCATATTCTCATATGGATTTATGATCCTTATGGATGGGCCGAAGAGTATTAATTTTGAGATGTTTCTGTTTAATTTAGAGTATGTTTTGAGTTTTTATATTTACTACGGTATTTATTTCTTGTTATTTCACCGACTTTAAAACTATTTTAACCAGATAAATCTACTTATTTTATAAATGTTGCTTGTCGTATTGTACCATGACCAAAGAGAACAGTGCTTACCATAAAATTGATCCTACAATACAAGAAAAACGTTTAGTGTGCATCATCTTACTCAAACTTAACTGGACATAAAAACACACATCAAAACAGGCTGCAGAATTTCCAATTCTTTTAAAGGCTTGGTTTTTAGTGGTTGAAAATTTTATTGGTGATGTTAAAAAGGTCTAAGTTTATTCTGCACTAAAATATGGCAAGTAATGGTTACTAATATTTTGATAATACGCTAGTCATTATTGATCATGAGTAGAGAAGATGGTAAAAAGGATGGACAATGTAAGTGACTTAAACTTAACTTGATGGAGAAATTGGCCGAAAGAGATAAGCTATTGGTTGAGAAAAAAGCTGCAAAACATCATTAAATATTACCTAATGCTGAAAAAAGGAAAAGCTTTACATTGAGGGAAGAATAGGAACTTGACCTAGAGAGACCAGGGCGGAAGAGGCTTATCAGAATAACGGGACAAGAGCTGGCAAATCAATGATGATGATGTAGTTTATTTTAAAATGCTATCGGTTAAATAATTGTGTCTGAACTTTGCAGGTTTCCTGAAAGGAAAGACAGTAATTCTTGTCACTCATCAGCTACAGTTCCTGGGATCGGCCAAGCATATAGTGTTACTTAACAGTGTAAGATATATTTTTATATTTAAATCTTTAAGCATTCACCATTTCACTAGGTTAAAATGCCTCAACTGCTGTAGCTCTGGAACTATTCTACAATTATTATCTTGGGAACCAAATGAGTATTACTCGTACAAGTTGTGGTTTCCAATATTATTCCAAGCAATTGCTTAGTTTCACAAACGTATGATTGAAAAGTGAGTAATGAAAAGTCCAGCAATGCTAATAAAGTATTTACGTTTCACTATTCTCACTTCAGAGAAACAACTAGACTTTTTTTAAGCAAATATGAATTAGGAAGATGTCTTGTGGCGGAGTTACTGACTAAGATCAGCTGTTTCTTTAGTCAGGATAATATCAAAAGATATCAAAATATGATCAAGGAGTCAAGGACAGCTGGGTCCTAAAAGACAGACTCTAATAGGAATCACACTGTGGACCTTCTGATTCCCAAGCAAGCTCTATAACCTCTCGGCGTTCAACAATTTATTTACTAGATATCTCATATCAATAGGAAGACCTCCATCATAATCTAGAGTTGTTTTTGCCATTTCAGGGTAAAGTTGTTGTTCAAGGAACTTATAAGGAGCTACGATCCTCAGGTACCAACTTTAGCCGGATGATCACTGATAGAGACGAAGTAGAGAATTTAGCAGTTTCTAATGAACAAACAACTATAAAGGTTTGTGATTTTCATTTAGTTGATTTAGACTAATTTAAGTAGAAACATGTCAACAGTCAAAGACATTCCAACATCTTCCTTTGAACATTTTGAAAATTGTAGGTATGCAAGTTTTAACTATAATAGGGTCAAAGTTCCAAGTTAATTTCCAAAGGATAACTCAAAACATTTTATTGAAACAATTGCATCAACTCTTATCCGGTAATTGGGAGAAGTAGAAAAATAAGATTATCTTAGTTTATCTTAGAAAGTTTTAGTTGTTCTGAAGGAATTAGGCCTCGGGTACGATACGAGCGGCGAGCGGTGAGCGGCAAGCGGCGAGCGGCAACCTGAGCGGCACGTAAGCGGCGGTGGTGGCTACGATACAAGCGGCACTTTTATAACGCTCATGAAATTTCTCAAGTTTTATGAGTTAGTTTAGTATAAAATGGTAAACTATGCTTACCTGCAAGACGTATTGCAACTTTGGTTGCTATCTGACAATTGTTTGCCTTTAAAGAAAAACTTAGTTTTTAGAAAAACCTTAACCATAATTTTTTCCCATACTTTTCTGGTGACTGAAGTGTTTTAAAACTTCCTTGCTGGTCATTCCACAAACATTACCTGGACTGCACCTCACGTATCGACTCGTATCGCATGTTTGCTGCTGTTTCCCTGTCATTTTAGGCCGAACAGAAGCATGACCCACCTGAGCGGCGAGCGGCGTTTTCGCGAAAATCGATTTTGACTTGGAACCATGAGCGGTGCCGCTCACCGCCGCTCGCCGCTCAGACGTATCGTGGCCACCCTCAACAAATTTGCACGCAACCAAATGAGACCCGATGTCAGAGCGGCGCCGCTCATGCCGCTCGCCGCTCATATCGTACCCGGGGCCTTATCGCAAGGTGAAAATGCTGTAGAGTTCCATTTAACATTGAGTCTACTGTGCTTTGTGTGTAAAACATAATCTTGCATTACATTCAAATGCCTCAATTGTGCGATGCTATTGATGTAAATGTAAAAAAAATTGTCCGTAAATTAAGGTTTCCGCCAAGAACTGTTGTGGCCAAGAAAACTATATCAAATCTGAGACCGCCGTCGTGTTCGTTACTTCATCCACTCCACAACTGGTCTAGTTGGATACTTATACTTTAATACTTTTCTTTGAAAGGGTTACCATACGAAAGTAGGTATTGCATACCACCCTTATGGTACCATAGTCTCTTCCAATTGGCAAAAGAGGTATTAAAGTAAAATGGATGCCCCTGCCAAGTTTGAATCACATTCCTGATTTAGGGTCAACCCCAATTGAAATCATGCCAGTTGACAGATGTGTATCTAGAAAAGTGTTAAGATGTAAAAACCTGCATAAGTGGCTCAGGAAGCTCACAAAAGGCCGTACACATTTACCCAGTTAGGTGGGATGCAGGTGTTCATTTGTTTCCATCGAGGCTATATAGTCTATGAATGATTGCTTGCTGGTCAGCATTTTCAAGACTACTAGGGGTTACTGTTGTCTTTGATGGTGATATATAGACCTCCCCTTTTGGTTTTGCAATCTCTCGTTTAATTGCACCGTGATCCACATGTCAAATTCCTGTCATTTTGGCCTCTGCCTCAAACAAGACTGATGAACGACCACAACCGGTCTACACTAAACAAAATGTGGTACATAATGTGTAAATGTTTACAACCACCTCAGCCACCTCTTTGTCAAATGAAAACACTGATTTCATTCATGTCTGTCAACTGGCAAAAGACTTCAATTGCGGTTGACTCCTTAAACCACAGTAATATGATCACAGAACGTGATTAATACTTGGTGGGGCCGGGGGGTTGCTACTGTCTTGTTCTTCTGGTGGTTGACGGGGGTCTTTCCTTCACATCTTCTTCGGTACTATGACTAGACTTTTATCCCACAACAGAGTGATTTATTTAATATGGCAGTGGACGGAGTAAATGAGACAGCGGTGGTCTGAGCTAGTTTGCTAGGTCGCGACATGAGCTTGATGAACACCACAACCCTCGTATGTTGTTGTAGGATGACAGCCAAGGGCCAGAGATGGTAGAGGAAAGTCACACTGAAGGTACTGTTTCCGGTAGAGTTTTCCGAACTTATCTGACCGGTGGAGGTCACTGGACCTCTATGGTACTTCTTCTCTTCATGTTTTGCCTCACCCAGTTCGTCGGCAGTGCCGGAGACTACTGGCTCAACTATTGGTAACTGCTCCATCACATTAATATTACATCACTTAGTTTGTTATGAATCCAACAGCTATCCAAGTTTTATCATGTGAAATACTTTCATTACAGATCACATAATGATTTGGTAAAAATATAATTTTGTCGTTAAATAAAAGTTAGTTTGGTATTCTAAATTTAAATTTTCAAGTTAAGTATACCGAGCTAAATGCACGTTAATCCTTTTCTTAGCAGGTGCAAGTAGGAGTTGGTCCAATGTTTTTTTTTTATTTACAAAAATTTTATTTTGTAAATATAAATATAGATTTGAAAAATAGTTGAGGGATGGGTTGTGTACTTAAATAATCCTCTGAAAAGGATTTTCATAACTGTTGTTGATGAAAAAGTTTTCAAATATTTGACCAAAAATACTCATACAAAAGAAATAAAAAAGGTAGTTTTAATGTTTGAAATAAGATCCTCGTTTCCTCAACAAAGTGTGTTAAAAAACATTTCTTATGATTAAGGAGTTTTATCGACTCAATATATTTTTTACTAGGGTCAACCTAGAAGAGTATGTGTACCACCGAGAAGCCAACGCCACTTCACTTGAGCCAGACTTCCCTGTCTACGTGTCGCAGCAAACCTGCATCATCGTGTTCACTGTCCTCATTGCTGCCACTATTGTCATCTCTCTCACTCGCTCATTCATGTTTTTCTATATGTGTACACGGTCTTCCATGTGGCTGCATAATCACATGTTCGCCTCAGTGACCAGAGCTACAATGAGGTTCTTTCACACCAATCCTGCAGGTATGGTTTTGGATTAGGGATGCGTTTGCTAGATTTTGTTATTTATATTATTTTAAAGTTTTTTGTTTATATCTTGTTATCCTAGACTTTAGCTCAGAACAGTTTTCACACAATATTTCAGGTTAGGCCTACAGGGTCACTGTGTATCACCACACAGCTTATTGGGGACTGGCAGGATTTGAACCCAGAACCTCAGAGACCTCATTCACATCGCCGAGAATGAAATCTCATGACCTTTTGCCCCAATGTTAATTGACACAATACATTATTCTAAATCGCAAAACCAGAACTCAGATTAGCCAAAATCATGATCAATGAGGTTTTAAATTTTTGTAAATCATAACTAAATAATGGAATATAGTTGGGTCAAATTATGTTAGCACATTTGTTACTCATTTTATTTTCCTCTCATCAACGCTATGTATTATCTAATCATTATTACTTTTTTGGTGGACTTCTTTCTACCATAAAGTAACTTTATTTTAATTTTCCTTTGATGATTATACTTTTGTTATTTAGTGTTTAAAAAAATCAGTTGCTTGGTTGTCTTAGGTGTTATTTGAGAAAGTCCTAAATTTTTGAAAACTCAGTCAGTTTGAGAGGAAAGAAATTAACATTTTCTGTGTATTTTAGGTCGAATTCTAAACAGGTTTACAAAAGACATGGGGGCAGTTGATGAGATGTTACCCAGTTCACTCCTAGATGTACTGCAGGCAAGTTGACAGTCAAATAACATGTAAAACAGTCACCTATAAATACAACACCTTTCCTCTCAGTCATTTTAGTGTGTGTTTAATTTTGGCTGAAGCTAAGTTGCAGTTTGTTGAAATATTTGTTTAATAAATATCCCTTTTATAATTTGGATGTCATTCCAATAAATCTTTATTTTCGCCAATTACTGTATTGGGTTGACTTAAGCCACTACTCCATTGCCAATTTTATTCTCTCAAATATCGTTCTATCCCATCACAGAGAGAAGTATACACAGGAAACTTGCTTATGGGGCAACTGTGCACTTTCAGCTCTAATATGTTGTGCAGGAAATATACTTGTGATGGGCAAGGAAGAGCTGGAGTGAAAAGCACTGTGCGGGAATTCCTTTTACACAGCTAGGGCACAGGCTCTTCCTCCACCGTTTTGTACAATGAGGGCAAGGGGGCGGTGTTGGACGTTGCTCTGAACACCAGCGACTAGTGCTAGAAACCACTTATTTAAATATTTCCTCTGTACCTTACTTCTCTGTGATCTTATCCAAACATAGGTCTAATACACACAGATTATTTATATATATTGGTGTTAAATACTCTAAATACCTATCCAAACTTATCACTTTCTAACACGAAAAAGTACAAAATTCACACTCCCACTTGCAAGTGACATGTGGCACTTGATAGAATATATCACCAGACAGATGTTATATTTTTTCCAATAAATTGCAACTCAAATTCAATTTCAGCTTATGACGGGTTGAATGTTCACAGATTGGACTGACGGTGGTTGGCATTGTAGGAGTCCTGGCACTGGTCAACGTGTGGCTGTTGATTCCTACGTTGGTGGTCGGTTATGTCAGCTTTGTACTGAGAAACTACTACCTCAAGACATCTCGCGGATGCAAGAGATTGGAAGGAATCAGTAAGTAACCATATTCTGTGAATACACAGAAATATTTGTAATAGACGTTTCCATTATTTAATCCAAAGGTTTCTTAGGTATCTATGTAATCTGTGTGTATTCTTTAAGATGTTAAGTGCTAGTCAGTTTGTAATTGCTTTTAAGACTTACCGTACTATTTTACCTTGAAATTAATGTCTAAACAGGATGCAGCTTGCTTGCCTAAACATGTTTTGCATCTTAAATATGAAGTTTATCTAATCTCAAAGGAAGATATGCAATTATTTTAGTAACTTTATTTGATCGTGATTCAAATAATAGGCGTGATTTATACAGTAAGATGAATTAACTAAAAGTACATTGTTGAATCATATCCAAAAGCTATTTTACTGAAACATAATAGTTCATCTACATTATTGATCACCAGTTTATAACGACAAACTTAAAAAGTGTTAAAGAATAGGTTATGATGTGAAATAGTTTATCCACAATAGACTGAGGTCTTGTTTAGTCTAAAATTTGTTGAATGTCAAAAAAATACTCATAAAACAAGCTAAAAAGTTTAGTAATTTGTTTTTGAGAGAGTAAATTACAAATTTTACTTGTAGTGTGTTTTGTTTAGCCAGAAGCCCGGTGTTTTCTCACTTGAATGCCTCTCTTCAAGGATTATCCACCATTCGAGCGTTCAACGCTGAATCCATTTTGGCAGAAGAATTTGACAATCATCAGGTAATTTTAGTTCCAAATAGTATTGTTGGAATCCCACAGAATTGGTAATGATGCTAGAGCTTGTGCATTTCCTGGTGAAGCCTGAGGGATAGGTGGTTAGAGTGCCTCAGAACTGGTTTTGTAAGGGCTTCAACCCTACCCCCCAGGCTTCACCAGGAAACGCACCGTGCTCTAGATGCTAGATGGTAAAGATTTGGTACATTTTAGCTAGTTTGTACTTGATTTACCTACTAGCTGTTTTAGCTTTGAATTGTGACAAGTAATAAAGAAAAAAAGTTTTTACCTACCATTCTGAATTAAGAGGGTCCATCACTTTATGGGTTCGTAGGTTCGAAGTGGGTTCATCTATCTGCATTTACTTTAAAGTATTTGTAGGATTTCTTTTAAAATTGTTATACATGTACAGTATAGTCTAGCATAGAATTAGAATTTCAAGATACAAGGAATTGCTCATTTGAATAAGCAATCCATTTCATGAGCCTGACAACTGTGATATTTAGTTGTACCCAGTGCTCGATTTTCAAAAGATTAGGTACCGGAACTGTAACCTATTAAATATGATTTGACCTATTTATGCCAATTTTTAACTTTCTGAAGGAGAGGTACCAGAACTCCATTTCCCCACAATTCGAGCACTGGTTTTACCACTGATTACTTCTAGAGGTGTTATTGACTTTTTATCTTGCCCTTCATGCCTTACTAACTGTTATAAAAATTAAAACTAGTGTAGCTGTTGCTCGAATTCGAGCAATTGCTAAGTATTACAGGTACAGGCGATATTTTAAAACAAATAACAGTTATAATTTCTGACGACTTAAAAAAGATTATGGAAATACTCAGGTAAATATTTCATTTCAACCAAGACAGTAAATGTTTGTAGCAAACTCCTCGTTCCCACCACCACCCCTGGCTTAAGTCTGGGACTTATTTGCCAGGCCAATTCCCCATGAAAATCTTCTTTCTTTTTAGGCTTCAGTCACTTTCAATCCTCGTCCAGACTCATTCTGTGTCCAAAAGCCTAACAGCACGATTCCCTTCCCCATACCGCCCTGAGCGATAGGGATCATTGAGATTCGCTCTAACCTTTCCTCTCCCCTTCATGGGAAAGTTTTCATCCCTTTTCTTTCTTACTTTTTGTTTATTTCTATTTTTTAATTTAAAAGCTGTATGTATCCATAGTTTTTCCTATTTCCCTAGCTACTTTCATAAACATCTCAATTGTTTCCTTGTCACTCATCATGTTTTATGTTCTCACCTCTATACCTCTCTTATCCAACACTTATTCCTGTACTCTCCTATATTGGGGAGTGTTGCTGAAGGTCTAAGTCCCGGAAGGTCTAATTAGACCTTCGGCACACATTTTGCAGTTTGTACTTGTTACTGAGGGTCTAATCTGGCAGTATGTCGAAGGTCTAAGTCCTGCAAGGTCTAAGAGTACAGTCAATGCAAAAATCTCATCCACTGATACTGTTTTAGACCTTGCGGGATTAGACCTTGGGCACACAATGTATATTTTGTAAATAAATTATTATAAAATGAGAGTTGCTGAAGGTCTAATTCCCGGAAGGTCTAAGATTCGAGTCCCGGAAGGTCTAAGATTCGAGTCCCGGAAGGTCTAAGACTTGAGTGCCGGAAGGTCTAAGATTCGAGTCCCGAAAGGTCTAAGATGTGGGCGAGCATTACGTCGCCAGAGATGAAGGCTATACAGGCAGGCAATAATGCAACAACTTTTAGAGTTGTAATAATCTTAGTGATAGTTTTAATAACTCTCACGTCTTTTTTTGCTAGCTCGTTATTACAAGTACGATGGAGATATAAAAAATCCTTATTTATATCATTGACTATTGGATACTTTAATTTTTGTTACTGGCATAGTTGCTGGGCCATAACAGTTGCTATAGCTCAGAATAAATCATTACATCAGTTTAAATTGCTAATTAAAAACCATTGTGCAATCGGCAGAAATAAGTTAAATAAGTTCGGCAGAAATAAGTTAATGTTGGTGTTAAAATAATATCGTTAGTTTCCTTGGTGTTCAGGATTCTGTTTTGTTTATTTCAGCTTAACTTAGCCAATAAATAATTTCATCCATTGACTTTATACCACATACAGGGTGAATAAAAAGTCAAGACCCCCCCTCTAATTTTTTTCCTAGTCAATATACAGAGATATCCTTTTGGGGGTCGTGCAATCTTAGCCGGAAGTTTCATTTTATGATTTTAAAATTTATGAATGTCCCCCCAAAAGGGGGGATTTGGGGGGTAACTCAAATATTTCAAATGTAAACCCCCTTCAAGTGACACCTCATTTTGAAGTGTTTATAAAAACTTAAGGAATGGTGAAAACTAGAGGTCGCTATCTCTTCTCTATCAAAAATGGTAGCCCGTCAAATGTCGTGGAAAATCAATGGTTAATATTGGTTTGTAATTGTAATATTGGCTACCATTTTAGATAGAGAAGAGATAGCAAACTCTGGTTTTCACCATTCTTTAAGTTTTTGTAAAAACTTTAAAATGAGGTGTCACTTGATGGGGATTTACATTGAAAAAAATTTAGTTGCCCCCCCCCCCAATCGGGCCTTTTGGGGGTACACTCAAAAATTTTAAATATAAACCCCCACTTAGTGACACTTCGTTTTTAAGTGTTTACAAAAACTTAAAGAATGGTCAAAACCAGAGTTCGCTATCTCTTCTCTATCCAAAATGGTAGCCAATATTACAATTACGAACCAATTTTACCATTGATTTTCCACAACATTTGACGGGCTACCATTTTTGATAGAGAAGAGATAGCAACCTCTAGTTTTCACCATTCTTTAAGTTTTTGTAAACACTTCAAAATGAGGTGTCACTTGAAGGGGGTTTACATTTGAAATATTTAAGTTGCCCCCCAAATCCCCCTTTTCCCCCCGGACACTCAAAATTTTCAAAATCATAAAATGATACTTCCTGCTAAGATAGCACGACCACCAAAAGGATACCTCTGTATATTTACTTGGAAAAATATTATATGGGGGGGTCTTGACTTTTTATTCACCCTGTATATAGTCAATGTTTCATCTTACTAATATTATAAATCTAAAAGTTTGTGAATTTTTGCGTGCGTGCGTATAAGGCCGGTTCCGAGGCGATCGATGTGATTTTCCACCGTGGGTCCGAGGTCCCCGCTTGTTTCGAGGTCCTGGTGCAGGACCTCGGATCCAAATACCAGAGAATAATTTTAATATCAATATTAAGTGATTTTGAGCGAGACCTTGGAACCCTAATGGAAAGTTTAAAACTTCTTCACGGAATTTACTTGTACACAGTGTGGCATGTGACTTAAAATGACATTCTCCGCGGGAACCGATGTCCGTGTCCGTTTCCCTCACATATAATGTATACACTATACACCCTCTGATACATCCTTCAACCGGAAGCAGAGGCTCCCCTTTAACCCCCACCTCCACCTCTCTCCAAGATGACATAGTATTTCAGATATCATATCACTATAACGGCAGTCGGCAGTCCGAATGGAATGGGAACAGTTGCTATTCAACACCTCACGAGAACGTTGTTTCCAAGCTGTGCTCGTTCGTTTCCTAGACGAATAGCAGTAGTAAAATTAAAGAACAAGTATCTTGGTTCTATAATATACCTCATAACCGTAATTATTAGTACTCACGTGGGCCTATGAATGTTTATGCATTTTTGGAACGTACTACACATTAACATAACATGTAAACATGAGTTGATTATTAGATAAACAGTTTTATTCATACCATTGTTACATAAGCAAATTATTCCGATACCCAAATATCAAAAAATAATTACAGTATTAAATATCACTAGTGGCTTGCTGGGTCATGGTGTAAGTCCCTAAAAAGCTCCAATGTAAAACAAATTATTGTATTGTTTAAATAACCTCAGAATCAAATTTTATTCAGATATCTCAGTACATAATTTGTTTCCCGTTTATTTTTTTTTGTGGTAAAAATAATGATAATAAAAAGGCTTCCCTGATTGAAATATTGGAACTTGTTATGGTCAAATATGAAAAATAAAATAAAGGTTTGTTGAGATAAGCTTATAGTTCTTAGTGAAAACCGCTAAATTAGCATCTCGACACAGTTATTATTTCTATGTTTAGGACTACGCTCATTTTGTTTGTAAAGGTTTGACAAAATTAGTGTAAAGTAAAGGCATCCCACTGACATAACATAACCCTAAATTTGATTATGTTCGACATTACAAAAACTACTATTAGCCCAGTGTAAATATATGTGGTGGTAATCCTCCTAAGGTGCAATTGACTTTACATATTCTATAAGGAAAATGCTTAATCAAATTCTGATTACTAACTATTTTGCGACTGGTTAGGGTTCATTAGACCCTAATAATATAAGACTCTATAGTTGATGATTTATTTAGAAAGTATATGCTATTGAAAAAGTTTTTATTCTTTGAATTTCTTCTCTAAAGCTACTCATTTAGGAGTTACAGTGTGTTAAAACTAAGAAAAAATTACGTGCCGTGTAGGGGCCTACATTCGACGCCATGTATCTCTTAAATGAGTAAGTTTAGAGATAAAATGCTAAGGGTAAAAAAGTCATTTCATATACAGTCTAAAAAGACCTGAAATTAAAAAACATAAAAGATAATGACCCCATGGCATAAATTTTTAAAATAAGAAAACTAGGTATTTTATGGCCTTTTTAGAAAGTGGAAGCAATTTTAAGACTTATTTACTCTTAGCATAAAATATAGGGTCTTCCATAATATAAATCAAAGTTGGGGGCCATAATGGAAAAATGGCTGTTAAATTTTTTTTAACTTTTTCTAAAACTGTTTGAATAAAAAATCTAAGACCTCTTTCACACTGTCATGCGGCGTTGGTCCATGGGAGTTTTTATATAAGTTTTTCACACGATGTCCGTCGCGCGCCTGCGGCCTGACTGACTGACTTACCACCGGATGCACCTACGCCGTCAAGAAGTCTACGCCGGACAACTCGTTGAAGGGCTAGTTCGGCTGCGTCCCGAAAGCCACGAATGTTTATGGCTAAAGCTGGGGGACGAAAACCACAACAATTAGTAAAGGATCGAAAAGGTTTTAATCCTGAGGACGTAAGCCACGTCTGCGAGCCAGGTAGACAGCTGTCAGGGTGGCAGCTCACAGGGAGAATGGAAAATGTTAGCTCCCTGTTTTATTTATGCGTCTCAAGCAAATTTGTCAGTCCAATCTGAATCCGCCGTGATATAAAGGTTAGAAATCTACTTTTGAGCTCTACTACTGTTTGTTATTTTATTCTACTGTCTTATTATCGTTAGTGTACTGTAGTTGTTCATCGCAATAATTAATTTCAAGCAAATAATAACTCTAGATAAGCTATTACCGTAGATACTACGGTGAAACCTAAACCCTGTCCTCACAGGCCAATGATGTATTAAATATATTAATATTGATTCAAAAAAATTTGTTATTAATGTGTGACGGACGATTACTAAAGTACCGAAGTTCAAGTTAGGGAGAATTAACCATCAAGAGCTTCGGACTGCTCACTCTAAAAATATCTTAAAATCATGTTTGTCGCTATAATTCTATTTCCCATAACTTAGGTGTACACGTTTAAACCTATTTTTTAATAGTACAATCAGTTCCACCATAACTTTATTGAAAAGATATATACAAATTTATGTTACATATTCACCTTGCATGATGTTTTATTGTGGTGTACTCATACTCATAACCCTCAGAGGCCCTAAACAGTTGCAGGCTCTCCTAAAATTTCATCTATGGCGATGCAATGCCCGCCCGCATCTTAGACCTTCCGGGAATTAGACCTTCAGCAACTGATCCCTATTTGTCTTACAATTTATAAATACGTGACTCGTGGTTTTTATTTCTCCACATCTACATAATTCCTCTTTCACCAGGTGAATTCTCCACAAATTCGCCTTTAAATTTTCCATGTCCTTTGACAAACTGCGTTTCATAATGGCCCATCTCCCAATCTTGTTCCAGTCTCTTTCTGATGTTAGGTATGTATCCGAACGTTTACCTTTAAAAGGTTAACATAAAACACTCTGCTCCCAACGCATTTGCAACGTATCTAATATCTCCTCTCATCTGTTTTAAAATCAACAGCATATGCAGCGATTATCCAACAGTCCTAAATTGAATATGGAATCTTCAGGTGGATTTGGAGAGCACACATAAACCCAACACGGAAGGATGGCTGTATTCGGCTATCAACGACAATAGTGTTACTTGTATTTCGTTCGCGTCTACCAGTTAAAGTTTGTTGGCCTCCTCCTCTTGGACGTCCTGGTCGACGTCTTATAGTCTCCATTATGTAGAACGTTTTTTGGCTATGTTTTGATTTTGTACAAATAAAAAACAGTGAAACATCAATCTTTACAACCTCCAATTTTAGTATAACCAGCTGTTTCAAATATTAGTGTCAATTTCAAAGTATCCATCTGTTTTAATGTAAACAAACATCTACAAACATTTTTTCCTAAGAATAACATGGGAAGCTAAATGGTTTAAGTTACCTGGCTTCGTCAAGTGATCCTTCTTCAGTATTACACTACTATAGTTTCGGACTTGAAAATAAGTCCATCTTCAGGTTAACAAAAACGTCAATAGGTCATCTAACCAATTTGGTTAGATTCGTCGATACACTTAAAACACATACACGAACACGAAAAACACAAAAAACGAATATAATACTGTAAAAACTGGCGAAACTGACGAAGCCAGGTAACTTAAACCATTTAGCTTAAATTTAGTGATCCAGAGGCTACCTCACCATAACATGGGAACTTTGAAGGCCACTGGGGCAGAGCCCTGATGGAATTCCAAAGTTTGTTGTTTGATGGCAAAACTACATGCTAAGACCTTTCTAACGACATCTTGGACATGGTGATCGGTAGCACCACCGCTCCTAAACAATTATGACAAAAATATGCCTAGCGTATTAAATATATAGATGTATGTTCATGTTGCACTGTAAAATCTTTGTCTAAGGATCTTCACTCTTCTGCTTTCTACCTGTTTACTGCTGTCTCCCGAGCTTTCGGTTTCTGGTTGGATCTCGTCTGCTTTTTGTACATAGCCACAGTGACGTTCAGCTTCCTGGTTATTGACACTTGTAAGTTAATTAGATTAATATGCACAATTGTCAAAATTAAAACTTATATAATTAGAATAAATTCATTTTAAATTGGTACAGTACCATCAACTACTAATTAATTTTATTTTTAAAACATTAGGCTACTCTTGATCATTTACCATTAACAAAATATTTTTTTGCAAATGTGTATTTTTGTTGAAAAGCTTTGTCTAGGATGTCACTCTTTATAAATAGTATATACAGTACCGTAGTATTGCATTAATACGAGTATTAATAATAGTATTGCACTTCCTCGTATCATCAAGGAAGTGAATTAGAACATTTTTAGGGAATTCCCTATATTAGCAAATTTCCCTATAGGAAAGTAGCTATTACCGTAGGTGGCACGGTAAGACCTAGGCCCGGGTCCCATTAACTTTTTTCATTTTGTAGTCTCCGGAGACCAAAAACATCATTCGTTCAAATTGTTATATAGGTATATATATTATTAAGTATATTATTGTAGTATATTGAAATTTTGCAAACTATTTATAATCCTAAGAAGAATGAAATTTATGCCCGACACATGCTAGCAAACCGCAAGCAGAAGAAAGAAGAAAACATAGACAAGTATCTACAAGAGCTTAAACTTCTAAGTAAGGATTGCAATTTTCGTGCCATAGATGGAAATACTTATCGAGATGAAGCCGTTAGAGATGCCTTTATAAGTGGAATTATGAACCCCCATATTCGACAAAGACTACTAGAAAAACCGTCCTTGACATTAAAAGAAGCTGAGGACATTTCACGTTCACTTGAGTCTGTACAGAAGAGCTGTGAAGCATATAGATCTTCAAACCAAATTGAAGTCACATATTGCAACACTTCGTCAACACTACCAGATCAACTGGATGAAAATATAGATCCTGAAGAGTCTCCTACTTCAGCAGCTGTAGCGAAAAACTTTAAACAGAAGTGTTTCTACTGCGGTGGCCGGTGTCATTTTACTCGAAACGACTGTCCTGCCAAAGATGCTATTTGCTCTGGTTGTAAGAAAAGGGGACGTTTTGTGAAGGTATGCAGGTTGATGAAAGCTCAAGGTAAGACCTTTAATGCCTCTTCTTTGGTAGTAACCACGCTTTCATGTGCAGCTGCCTCCAATGGACTGTCAAAAGCAGTTGTGCGGGGTTATGCAAATAAAATTCCTGTTGAAGTTTTGGTTGATACTGGAAGTACCGATAGTTTTATAAACCGAGCTGTGGTAATTGAAAATGGTTTTCATGTAATTTCAGAACGGAAACAGGTGTCTATGGCTTCCTCTAACCTAAAGTCACCTATCAAAGGTTATGTTTCTGTGAACTTAGAGTTCTCTGACCATAACTATGAGAGAGTACAACTGTTTGTTATTGACAATCTGTGCACTGACTTATTGGTTGGTCATGATTTAATGAAACTGCATTCTTCAGTGAACCTAGATTTTGGAGGAGATAAGTTACCTCTGTCCATTTGTAATGTTGCCTGTGCTTCTGTAGAACCACCATGCCTTTTTCATAATCTATCAACTGACTGCAAGCCCATTGCAACTAAGCCTCGTAGGTATTCAAATGATGATGAAAAGTTCATCAACTCTGAAGTGCAAAAACTCCTTCAAAGTGGTATAATTGAAGAAAGTTCATCTCCCTGGTGTGCACAAGTGCTTGTTACCAAAAGCTCATCTCATAAAAAGCGATTAGTAATAGATTATAGTTAAACATTAAATAAGTTTACCCTATTAGATGCCTACCCCTTGCCTAATATTGAAAACATAGCTAGTAAAATAGCAGAAAATAAAGTATTCAGTACTATAGATTTAAAGGAGGCTTACCATCAAATACCAATATCGGAACATGACAAATGCTTCACAGCATTTGAGGCAGCAGGAAAACTTTATCAGTTCTGTAGGGTTCCATTTGGTGTAACAAATGGTGTGTCTGCTTTTCAGCGCACGATTGATAAGATTATTTCCACTGAACTAGAAGGGGTGTGGGCTTTCATTGATGACATAACCGTAGCCGGAAAAACTCAGTCAGAACATGATGAAAGGGTGAATAAATTCTTTAAGGTAGCTAAGAAATATAATATTACTCAAACCAATGAGAAGAGCAAATTTTCTCAAGACATAATATCAATCTTAGGATATCAAATTCGCTACCAGTCTATGCAAGCAGATCCAGAGCGTCTGAAACCCTTGTTAGATTTACCATTGCCAGTTAATGCATCTCAATTAAAACGTGCATTAGGAATATTTTCTCACTACTCAAAGTGGGTTCCTAAGTTCTCAAACAAGATTCGGCCTCTGATTGATTGCAAATATTTTCCTATATTGTCCTCATCTTTGCCAGCTTTGGCTTTTCAGGAAATTAAACTAGACATAGGAAAATCAATACTCACCGTGATTGATGATAATTCTCCATTAGTTGTGGAAACAGATGCATCAGACTTCGCTATCGCTGCCACGTGAAGTCAAAAGGGTAGACCTGTCGCTTTCTTTTAAAAAACATTGACGGATTGTGAAAAACGTCATTCGTCTATTGAGAAGGAAGCCCTAGCCATAGTCAAATCTCTAAAGAAGTGGAGACATTTCCTCATTGGGCGTCATTTTCTATTAATCACCGATCAGCAGGCTTTGTCGTTTGTGTTCAGCAGTCGGCATACTAGTAAAATAAAGAATGAGAAAATCACTAGATGGCGTCTTGAGTTGTCACCTTATTCAATCTTTTGACATACAGTACAGACCAGGTAAAGAAAACGTCACCGCAGATGCATTTGATGTGTTTGTGGAGCTGTCACAAACATAAATTGTGATGACAAGCTTTTTGCACTTCACCAGTCACTTTGCCACCCTGGTATCACTAGGATGTACCACTGGGTAAAAAGTAAAAACCTTCCTTACTCGGTTGAGGATGTTAAAACAATGACAAACAAATGACCAATGTGTGCAGAGATTAAACCTCGTTTCTATAAAACTACAAATGCTCACCTTATCAAGGCCACAAAACCTTTGAGCGACTTAATGTAGATTTTAAGGGTCCTTTGCCATCTTGCACACATAATCTATATCTATTGACAATAATCGATGAATATTCACGCTTCCCTTTTGCATATCCATGCAGTGATATGTCCTCAAACACAGTAGTTCGCTGTTAAGAAAATCTATTTTCAATATTTGGAATGCCAAACTACATTCATTCAGACAGAGGGACATCTTTTCTTTCAAAAGAACTCAGAGACTACCTTCATGAAAGAGGAATAGCCACCAGTCAAACGACTCCATATAATCCAGCAGGAAATGGCCAAGTTGAAAAGTTCAATGGAACATTGTGGAAAGCAATCTTGTTAGCTCTGAAGTCCAGGTCACTAAAGGTAGAACAATGGGAAGTTGTACTCAATGATGCATTGCACTCCATAAGATCTCTTTTGTGCACTTCGACTAACAGTACGCCACATGAAAGGTTTTTCATTCATCCTCGGCGATCCCTCAATGGCACCTCACTACCAGCTTAGCTCATGAAACAAGGACCGATATTCTTAAAAAGAAATGTTCGACCATCAAAATTTGATACTTTAGTTGAGGAAGTAGAGCTGATGGATGCTAACCCTCATTATGCCTTGGTTAACACTTAAAGTGCCGTTGACATGTTTGAACATGAAAATTGCATTTATTTCAATGTTAAGCAATGGCCGGAATTCCCGTCATCAGCACCCAACGTGTTAAAAACAATGATGGAAGAAAGTAATCTGTATCCCTCAAGCACCTATCTCCAAGGGGAGATGTAAGTCTACTAGAAAACCAATGCCTTCCAACGCTAAAAGATAATCCTCAACTGGTGACAGATGAATCACAACCACATGTCATTCCAGAGCCGAACATCAATCCAGAACCAAATGTGTATCCAGAACAGAATGTCACTCCATTTGATATTCAAGACCATGATGATTATCCAAATGATGATAATCAACCAAACTTCATTCCTGAACAAGACTCTGAAGAAAACCAACCTTTAGAAAGGCCGAAAAGATCAAGAAAACCACCAAGTTACCTCGCTGATTACATTGTTTAAATTTTGAGGGGGAGAATGTTATGAATTACTGTTCTTAATAATCAGCTGAAGTATTTATTTACTTGTTGTTTGTATTAGAGATTTGTTAACCTTTCCAGCTATGTAAGAATTTATGTTTATTAAAGCCTTAATTTCTTAAAAGGTTCAGTTATTCACAACACTTACTGATGGGGCGTCACAAATCTCAGTCGATTTTTTGCCTCGTAGATTAGCCACCTCCACTCTTCTCAATCCTCCGCCATCCGGATTTCTCCTCCGCATTGGATCACATCCTTTTTGACTTGGTTATACCATTTTAAAGAGCTTAAAAAACAAATAATTTAGTATATCAAAGTGTTTTTGTTCGGTTATTGGTAAGGGAAATAATTTTAAAAATCATAATTTTAAAATTCCCATGTTTTTTTTATGGAGAATAGTGTAAAATGTTTTAGTTTGATTGTTTATGGATATATTTTGATCAAACTTGGCAAATTTATTTATTTTATACTAAGCTATTAATATTTTACTAAAAAACACACTTTATTAGTTTCCTTATAGCAGCAAACCTATGTAGGCTACTCGTTAAACCTTATGCTATTTATAAAATAGATTTAATTGAAAATCAATTCAGCCAAATGGAAATTTGCTTAAACGGCAGGTTTTCTGCGGCGGGGGTATTTATGTATAATACTGCAGAACTATAACTCTATGTCATAACATGGTTGTGAGTTTAGTAGGTGGTGTATGCCCACTAAGGCTGTTTTAGCGAATCTTTAGCCTACCTCTTTTCTGTGAATTGATTTTAGTATAAACCCATGCCAGAAACAACCCTTTCAATTAAATAATAAACATAAAAAAAATTTAGGTTGCATTAATTAAACGTTGATATATTTTTTAATGTATCAACTGTGATACTAGATACAAACTAGTTAGAAAAGTGCTTATCATTAGTTTAATTTTTAGTTTCTTTTGTTATAAAAAGGTCTTATTGCTATCGAGGGTCTCACTATAAAGAATTTTGACATCAAAGGTTTTGCTATTAAGTATCTTGCTATCAAGGGGGTTTCTATTGAAGGTTTTCGTTACAAGAGTGTACTACTGATTGATTTCAAGTGGCAGCATTAGTATGTGAATCCACAACGTCACTGCCTTGTCATCTGAGCCAAATATTCACCAAAAAGGCTTATTTGTTTATCTAGTAGAATTATTATTATTGATATAATGTCATTGTGTTTGTGTTGTCAGCATGGCTGGGGGGCAACGTAGGCCTAGCCGTTACCCAGACCGTGGGGATCATAGGGGTTGTGCAATGGGGGATGAAACAGTCTGCGGACGTGGAGAACTTCATGACTTCTGTGGAGCGGATCTTAGAGTACACTAGAGTGGAAAAAGAGCCTCCGTTGGACTCCCTGCCAGGTAACTTATCCTACCCTAAATAGTTTAATTTTTTTTAAAGATACACAACTAAAATTGATTAAACCCATCCTAAAAATACAAATAAATTGGAAAATTAGCTAAGCATTAGGAACAGTTCTCAATCAACAGTTACTATCTGTAGCCCAGGCAGTTTCCCAGGTGGCAGATAATAATTACAATCCCAGATAGCACGTAAGCTTGATTCAAGCATCGAATTACGCTTGCACTTACTTGAAATGACAGCTTTGAACTGGCCCATTAGATTAACACTCGAATCAAGTGTAATATTATTATTTGATATTTCTTTCTATTTAATTTTAATTTTATGTTTCAGACAAAATGCCTTCCCCTGATTGGCCGACAGAAGGCAGGATAGAGTTCAGCCAAGTAAACATGGCTTACGACTCCTCCCTCCCACCAGTGCTTAAAGATTTATCATTCACCATCCAGCCTAAAGAGAAGGTGGGTCAATTTATAATAATTATTGCAATGATTTGTTACATATACCATATAGTCCAGTCAATGAATGATCCAAAAGTAGGTGTAGAGTGTGTGAGCAGGTAACTAAGCGATTCCTTCAGAAACTTGTTCAGGGGGCTTAGGGTGTTAACATACCAAAAGTCCTGACTCCTAGGTGGTGAGCCAGGGGGTGGAGGGGGGAAAAAGGTACGCATTTTAGGTTTTTTGATTATATCTCGAAAACTATCAACTTTTTGTATACTATAGTAAATTATAAAATTGAAGAAGATTAAATTTTCTACAAGAAAAGTATATAATGTGTTTATTTTGGTTCAACAGATTACGAGTTATAACTTATTTAATTGATATCTTATTAAAATACTCCTTCCATAAGAAATACATGTAAATTAGTATGCGAAATGGGGCGAATCCTATCCGCCCAAAGGAAATATAACTGATATTCTGGAAATCTTGACAAAATTTCCAGTAATTTGACACTTTAATCATGAAATTTTGTCAAAAATTAAAGCGAGGGTGAGCGTTTAAAAATGGGATGATTTAAGGTTTTTTTTTATATTTCCAATAAAAAAACACCAAAACTCGACATTTTGTTACCTCGCCCTCGCCTTGTACAGCTTAAAAACTGGGTCTTTCTTGCACATCCCAGGCTGCCGGATAGTACAGGGGCCCGGGTCAGCTTAGCCGGCAATGACCTGGCTGCCCTATCATCCGGCGAAAATCTCTTTGGCCGTAGTAGTGCCGGATGGCGACCGGATAGGGCCCTGCTGCGGTTTTGGGGGGGCTCTGCCGAGGCCACTGCCTTTTCTGGAGCGTTCTGGGTTTCGGGGGGCGCAGGACATGGAGTACAGCCGTGCATGGGGTGAACCAGGGGGACATTCTCACGAGGGCACAGCATAGGGGGGGAAACTTTTTAAAAATGGCAGACAAGCAAAAAGAAAACGTTACAATTGTGCAAGAAAAAACTTCGGGTTCCCTAACCCAAAAAAAAGAGGCAGAAACGACACCTGAAGTGGATTTCGACCCGTTCAGGAGGAGCTCACGTTTGAGTCGCTCCCCTGTTCGCGCCCGTCCTTTCACTCCGAGTTCCGACCCATCGCCGCTCTCGGAAACTCTGCCAGAGCAGGGAAGTGAGAAAACAACCTCGCCATACGAGGCCGTTATCGCACTGGCCAGGCAGGAAGAGGAGGACCTCCTGACAAAGTGTTTTGACACTCTCAGTCAGATGAAGTCAGCGACACGCAGACAGAGGAATGTGAACCAAGACGTTAAGACTGGGATTACCAAGCTGGAGTCCTATCTTAACCACATCCTTCATCTCCGCAAGTCTTGGAAGTCGTGTGAAAAGACCCTAGTCTCTTCGTCAACGCAGACCTCGCCACGACAACAGACGTCTCAGTCCTCAACTGCGGCCAGCTCTAAGCGAGCCGCCTCAAGCCCAGCTGAGCCTGTGACCGAGAAGAAAAAGAAGGTCGACGGAAACCAACCAGGAGAGTGGGTGACGGTTGCGAAACGGAAGGGCAAGCAGAAGAACCCTCCTCAGCAGTCTGTTGTCCAGCCTGGTGACGAAACGACAAAGAAGCCCAAGAAAAAGAGAGCCTCTAAGCAACGCCCTGACGCTCTTCTAATCAAGCCGACAAGCGGAAAGACATACGCTGACGTGCTTGGTGAGATACGTCAAAAGGTGAAGCCCGAAGAGAAAGGAGCTGTTATCAAATCGCTCAGAAAAACTAGAGCTGGTGATCTCCTCGTAGAGCTTGGGGATTCCTCCGGGACGAAGGCAGAATTCGGGGCCGATTTGCAATCCATCCTTGGTGCAAACGCCTCGGTGCGAATTCTTGAGCCTAAGTCGACATTGGAAGTGAGGGATCTCGACGAACTCACGACTGAGGAAGAGGTCTCCACTGCAGTTAAGTCTGTTCTCGGGGAACCCAGTGAGATAAAGATCTTTGTCTCAAAGGCCAACTCTCGAGGGCAGAAGATGGCTATATTGACGTTGGGAGCTAGAGATGGGAGAAAACTCCTAGCTGAAGGGCTCATAAAGGTCGGATGGGTGAGATGCCGGGTCCGCGAGAAGCTCATAGCCCCAAGGTGTTATAAATGCCTGGGGTTTAACCACATAGCTAATCGCTGCAAAGGTCCCGACAGAAGCAATATGTGCTACAAGTGCGGCGGCCAAAATCACAGGGCCAATGTATGCAGTTCCGCTGAATCTTGCGTCCTGTGCACAGAGGCCGGCTTGAAGAACGATGCCATACAGCACGCTGCGGGATCAAGCCGTTGTGCTGCTTATAAGCAAGCACTGCACAAGATCCGCCAATCCACCCAGAAATGATAAGTGCCCTTCAGCTTAACATGCAAAGGAGCAGGACAGCTGACGGTCTGCTGTACCAATTCGCAACCGAGCAAGGCGCCGATATTTTGCTGCTGAGTGAGCAATATCAGAACCGACGCTCTCCTCAGTGGTTTCCTGATGTTTCTGGGACGGCGGCCATCTGGGTCCTTGACCCCGGGAAGGTACCTATCTTAGATTCCGGTGCGGGAAACGGTTTCGTGTGGGTGCGAAGCAGAGGTTTAACTTTCTTCTCCTGCTACCTTACACCTAACCAGCCCATAGCAGATTACCGCCAGATGGTCGACTCTCTAGAGGACGGGATCCTGAACGTCGATGGTGGGGTGATTGTTTGCGGAGATTTCAACGCTAGGGCGGTGAAATGGGGTTCACCCCAAACAAACACAAGGGGACGATATGTTTTAGAGATGGCAGCCAGGCTGGGTCTTCATGTTCTGAACGTGGGCAATGTCTCCACTTTCCGTCGCCCTGGATATGGAGAGACCATCCCTGACATCTCACTGGCATCTGAAGGCCTAGCCAATCGGATTTCTGACTGGCGTGTCTCCGAGGACTACTCTGCAAGTGATCACCAGGCAATTGTCTTCGGGGTGCTTCCCGAGCGTAGGCGTCCATATGCCAACTCGGCCAACCCGCCTCGACGTTGGAACCTCGGTCGTCTTTGCCGAGACACCTTTCGGGGATGTATCGGGGATCAAACTGTTGGGGACATCGGAAGTGCCGAATTCCGTGCCACGTCGACAATGCGACTCATTTCATTGGCGTGCGACTGTTCCATGCCCAGGATTTCTGCCCGTCGTGGGAAGAAGCCAGTTTACTGGTGGACACCCGAGATTGCGGAACTCCGGCGAAGATGCCTTAGCCTCCGACGAGCAGCGCAGCGTGCCAGAAACCGGCCTGAAGCCAATGCCAGATCGGCAGAGCACAAGGCTGCCAGGCGAGATCTTCGTGGTGCAATCAACCGGAGTAAGGTCAGGTGCTGGAAGCAACTGTGTCAGGACGTCGACAACAACCCCTGGGGGACGGGTTACAAGATAGTAACCCAAAAGCTAGGGACTCGTTCACCACCTGTGGTCATGGATCCTACTGCCATGGCTGCTGTCGTTGACTCGTTGTTTCCAAAGCACCCAGTGCGACCAACTAGAGAATTTAGGAATCTTGGCACGTTCCCACCCTTTCGCGAAGAGGAACTTACCTCCGCTGTCCGATCCCTCAGGAATCGAAGAGCACCCGGTCCTAATGGCATTCCTACGGAAATCCTCAAGCTCGTCGTTGAGTACAATCCAAAGCTTATGTTGGATATGTTCAACTCCTGCTTGGCGGACGGCGTTTTCCCGACGGCGTGGAAGGTGGCTCGCCTTGTCCTGATCCCCAAGGCGAAGAGTGCACCGGGAACCCCCTCCTCTTACCGCCCACTGTGTATGCTTGACACTGTTGGCAAAGTGATGGAGAAGTTAATTCGTGTCAGACTGACCGAGGCTATCGTCTCTGCGGGTGATTTGTCCCCGCAGCAGCATGGTTTTCGTTCTGGTCACTCGACCATTGACGCCATCCAAGAGGTAGTTGGGGCAGTGCGGAGTGCGGAGAACCACAGTCATTGGTCGCGCCGCTTAGTTCTCCTCGTCACTCTTGACGTGAAGAATGCGTTCAACTCCGCCAGGTGGAGTGACATGCTACAGGCGCTCGAGCACACATTCCGCGTCCCTCCTTACATATTGCGAATGATTCGAGTCCTACCTTTCAGACCGCGTCCTGCTCTTTGACACCAGCGAAGGTCAGCGTCGGATCTCTGTCACTTCTGGGGCTGCACAGGGATCGATCCTTGGACCTGATCTCTGGAACGTGTCTTACGACAGTCTGCTTAGACTCGAAATGCCAGACGAGACCCGCCTCGTTGGCTACGCCGACGACGTCGCTGCTCTGGTTGCAGGCAGAACCGTTGAAGAAGCAGAGCTTAAACTTGGTATAGTGATGCTCCGTGTCAACGAGTGGATGCGGGACCACGGCTTATCGTTGGCGGTTGAAAAAACAGAGATCGTGATCCTAACCAAGAAAAGAATTCCCACCGTCCTTCCTTTGCAAGTAGGCCATGCCCAATTGGAGACCAAGCCGTATGCCAAATACCTTGGTGTTATGATTGACAGCAAAATGTCTTTCGGCGAGCAGATAAAGCGAACTGTTGACAAAGCCGCTAAGGGAGTTGTTGCCCTTAGTAGGCTTATGCCAAACGTCGGCGGCCCCCGCTCCTGCAAACGCCGCCTACTGATGTCTGCCGTCCAATCAGTACTCTTGTACGGCGCTGAAATCTGGGCCCACGTGCTGGAGAGGCGTGTCTTCTGTGACAGGCTCTCCCGTGTTCAGCGTCGAGGTGCCTTGCGAGTTGCTTCCGCTTACCGCACGGTTTCCGAGCCTGCAGTCATGGTGATTGCCAGTGTCATCCCCGTCTTTCATCTCGCGAGGGAGCGACAGGCGATCTACCGCAGGAGACCTGAAGTAGATAGAGAGACTGCTGCCAGAGGAGAACGCAACCGCAGTTTCGACCGCTGGCAGAGTGAATGGGAAGCCGAGTCTCGGGGACGTTGGACCGCCAGGCTCATTCCTAGCATCCGACCATGGGTGGAACGGGAGCATGGTGAGGTTGGGTACTACTTGACTCAATTTTTTTCGGGTCACGGGTACTTTTGGGCCTTTTTGCACAGAATGGGGAAGGCTGCCAGCTCAGACTGTATGTACTGTCCAGGCATTGCAGACACGGCTGAGCATACCTTCTTCTTCTGCGACAGGTGGCATGTCCGCCGAGCCTCCTTGATCTCCGAGATCGGCGTCGACATTACTCCCGACAACATCGTTGGAGCTATGATACAGGGGGAAGGAAACTGGAACTGTGTAAAGCAGTTCGTTGAAGCCATACTTCGGGATAAGAAGGTCGACCTCGATCGGCCTTAGTTTTCTGAGGAAACCAGAAGGAAAGCCCTAGGGGCGTAGTATAAAAGGCCTAGCCCGAAGTAATGTGCGAAACAGTTCCAGGCTAGTGTCCTAGGAGACGAGGGGGTTTTTTAGCCGGTAGTCCGGGGACAATGAGCCCGCGGGAGTCCGGCACTACTGAGTGGCCATTGAGCACCTCAGTGTGCGTAAATGCATTTTCACCTCCTCCCCAAAAAAAAAAAAAAAAAAAAACCCTCGCCCTCGCCTTAATTTTGGATCAATTTTAATGATTAAAGTGTCAAATTACTGGAAATTTTGTCAAGATTTCCAGAATATCATTTATATTTCCTTTGGGCGGATAGGATCCGCCCCATTTCGCATACTAATTTACATGTATTTCTTATGGAAGGAGTATTTTAATAAGATATCAATTAAATAAGTTATAACTCGTAATCTGTTGAACCAAAATAAACACATTATATACTTTTCTTGTAGAAAATTTAATCTTCTTCAATTTTATAATTTACTATAGTATACAAAAAGTTGATAGTTTTCGAGATATAATAAAAAAACCTAAAATGCGTACCTTTCTCCCCCCCCCCTTTTTCCCCCCTCCACCCCCTGGCTCACCACCTAGGAGTCAGGACTTTTGGTATGTTAACACCCTAAGCCCCCTGAACAAGTTTCTGAAGGAATCGCTTAGTTACCTGCTCACACACTCTACACCTCATTCCTTGACTGGACTAATATGACGTTACAGTATAGTAGTTTAAATACGCTTGTCAGTTTAAAGGGTAATGTATTAAATTGTGGTTTTGCTAATCAGTAAGTTAATGTTGTTGATTTTTATTTGACACAGTATTTAAATGGATCAAACTGTACATACTCAAAATTTGTGTCGCCTTTGACACATTTCTTTGTGATGGGGCCGTGTTTAGACATCCAACTACTACTGGAAACATCAAGATGAGAATCTACATCAAGTGTACCAATGAAATAAATTACTTAATTTAGGGTTAACATATTTTTGCTGGTTGAAAAGAGGACGCATATCTACGTTTTGATGGAGTGGAATTTTGGGCCCTATACAAATAATAATTAATATTACAGTACTGCAGGCCCGTTTTTTACCCTGTCGGCGCCCTAGGCAAAACTAATAGTAGCGCCCCCTTGAAATATATATACAGGGTGCACCGACCAGGAAATCTGGGAATTATGCTTGAGTTTTTTGCCTATTCGGTAAATCGGCCCTGCAGTACTGAAAGATTAAAAGCACGCATGCATGATTTTTTTTTTTTACTGCGCATCTTATTGTAAATAGATTGATGAACTGACCCATTGTGATTTTCTTCTAGCTAAGGTTAGTAATGTTTAGGATTTGGGATAATTTTATGTCCCAAGAACCCCCTTGACATCAGGATGTTTGTTGCAAAACCAGTAAACGTCCTTGAAAACTGGGACAGTGATATCCCTATTGATGACACACATTGTATAGTGTTCTGATACATTCAAACCTCGTCTTCTATCTTCCTTCCAGGTAGGCATTGTGGGCCGCACTGGTGCAGGCAAATCATCTCTGACAGCCGCGTTGTTCCGTCTCTCTCAGATTGAAGGGAAGATTTCCATTGACAACATTGATGTGTCCGTCATTGGCCTACATGACCTGAGAGCCAATCTGTCCATAATTCCGCAGGAACCAGTGTTGTTCTCGGGCACTGTCCGCAAGAATCTTGACCCGTTTGATGAATACTCGGATCATACTCTATGGAGTGCCTTAGAGGAAGTAAGCTACTAACTTATAATGATTTACCAAATCTAGATGGGGTTACAACTGGGTTTATTTCAAACCAATGAATAAAAGATGTTATTGAATGCCTTGTGTACCCTTGTTAATGACTAAGACCATCTGTTTCTGCCCAGTTAAAAAGTTTAAGTTAACATTATATTACCTATTGGAATGGGTACACAACCATTGACTATAAACAGAATAATTAATTGTGTGTATAGTCAATGACACAACTAAGCATATGTGACCCAATGAATTTGAAGACAGCTGCTACTGATGGGAACCATTAAAAAGCTATGAATGGTACTGACTTTTTCTCAGGATTGAATCACTAACCAATTTATTCTTTGGCAAGCACTATGTAAATAATTAATTACTCTAATGGGTTTCCAGATGTTTTTGAACACCATACTGTTAATTGTTAGGGGAAGAGTTTTAACAGTTTATTTCCATACAATAAATTTAATACTTTTTTGTCAAGGTAGAGATGAAAGAAGTGATAGAAGACTTGTCGGATGGACTAAACAGTAAGATATCAGAGGGAGGATCGAACCTGAGTGTTGGACAACGCCAGCTGATGTGTCTCGCTCGAGCAATCGTCCGCAACAACCGGATACTTGTCATGGACGAAGCCACCGCCAACGTCGACCCTCAGTTAGTATATCATTGAAATCAACATCAAATATGTGTTCTATCAAAATTTGCAGATTACAATAGACTCCTATAGTTATGGATATAAAACATCCAGACTCTCGTATTATATAACGTGATATCAAATTTGTAAATTCATCGATTAAGTAAGACACATTTCCTCAGTTTCACGCCTTCAAATTCTGCGGTTGCACGAGTAACTTTTGTCTTATATCTTTTAGTCACTAACAAGACTACAAGATCGCGCCACTCATGCTACACTTATCCTTCACCCATATTTGGGTTTAAATACGCACATAGTGCTGTCCCCATCTTAAATAATTTATATAATTTTATGATAGGACACTCTATTTTTCTACCAGTGAATATGGCATGGTTTTGTTGCCATATAATGATATTATACGATATTAGCCGTATGATACTAGCAAGGTTTTGATGAAAATCAAGATGATGAATCAATGTGTAGAACTTTTGAAGAGTATCAACTCTGTTCATCTGAAACCGTAAAATACTATGTGCTTACCACGTAAGACTATGACTTTGTAAAATAGTATGGATTTTTAGATTTCTATTGTGGTTGCTATTAGTCTGGGGTCTTGGGAGTCTACAGAAATATCAAATTTGGGTTTATAGCCTATATGAAATAGTAAATCATAGTTAAATGGGTTTAGAGCTTATATGTATGGCTCTAAACCTCTGTATGTCCCTTCTCGGACGGGTGACGGATATATCCGCCTTAGTCTTCGGCGATAAAGGACGGGTGGCGGATATGGTTTTTGATGTTCCGAACGGGAAGCGGATATATCCGCCTTCTCTTCAGACAGACTGGCAGGTGTTTGAGCAGTAACCAGATTTTTCACGGTACCAAGACACCACTTTCCTGCTCTCTCCATGGCTGCGCTCAATCCCGCACTCCCTTCTCTCTCCCGCGCCGACCCCTCTCCCACGCCTTCCCTTCTCCCACGCCTTCCCTTCTCCCACCCACCCCCACCTCTCCTACGCTCTCCCCTTGACTTTCCGCACTCAACACTACGTTATCTTTATTTATTGTTTACATATTGTTCTTTATTTATTGCCTAACGTTGTCATGGTCATATCTTCAAAGATGGGTGGCGGATATATCCGCTGCTTTTCTACTCATCCGCGGACGGGTAGCGGATATATCCACATAGTTAAAAACAAATAAAAAATTATTTTGACAGTATGAAGTGTTCCATTGGGTTTATTTTATGTATACTTGTATAAAAAAACACAAATAAGAAAAATTAATTTTTATTTTTTCCTATAATTTTTTCCCGTTCTATGTCATGATTTTGCCCGTCCGGGAAGGGTTAATAGTAAATCATCATAGTTAATTGTCCATACAATTTTGGATTTGTCTCTCACTAAGATGAAAACCTCTTTGCAGGACAGATGCCCTGATTCAGACCACCATCAGGAGAAAGTTTGCCGACTGCACTGTGTTAACCATCGCCCACCGGCTCAATACAGTCATGGACTCTGACAAAATCTTGGTCATGGACGGCGGCCATCTTGTGGTCAGTGGTTTTGGTGATATGGATAATATTTATAGCTCAACGATTTAATCTAACCGTGTAAATATCCAATAGAGATAGTTTTTGATGGTACTCTAAGTACTTAACCATGTCTGTGCTGTACTTATACGTTTGGCTGTGGTGGTTTTTTTAGTGTGTTAAACTCCTGGGTTTTTGATTTCCAAAGTATTAGATTTCCGAGGATTGAATTTTAGGGGTACTAATATATTTAGAACAATATTTATAGATAGATAGCAGGATAAACAAGAGCGTAGCAAACCAAATTAGATTGCTGTCAAAATCAACGTTTTATCTGGGATTGTGTGATCACTAAAGGCAGCAGTTGAAAAAATGTCTGACTTTTTTACAGGAGTTTGATCATCCACACATCCTGCTAACCAATAAGCACGGTTTCCTATATAAGATGGTGGATCAGCTGGGAAGATCAGCTGCTGAAGGGTTACGCAATATCGCTGCTGTGGTACGTAACATTTCATGAAACTTAGTCTAAGTCATAAGAGTCTTTGATTTATAACAATACTATCAATTCAAAACTGAGTCAGAAACCTCAAATGAAATAACTTCCTTTCGCAGTAGGTTTATCCATATTAATTAAACGAAAAAGCAAAATATGTTTTGAGAAATAAAAAACAATAGATTTTTTTAGCATTTGAATGATGAGTTTGAGTATGGTAGGTAAGTATGGCTTTCAAAGTCAGAGCATTTTTTGTTTGTTATCCCTGTTTAAAGGACTTGAATTATATTAGATTCACATTTGTAGTTGTAGCCTGAGTTCTTGTAGGTAAAATGTTTGTGTCACCTAATGGATTTTGGATTTTTTTTTAGCTAGGAGCTGTTAAGGTGTGGTGGAATATCTTTGAAGATGAACCTATTTGGCTGTAGTGCGATCATGTGTTCATATGTGTCAAATTTTGAGGTTGAATGAAAACAAACAAACTGGCATATTGTCAATTAGGCATTTGGGGGCCATGTTGTATTACTTACAAAAGAATGTCCATTTAAGATCAAATGAATTAATATAGTGTATTTCATTGTCTAATTAATTAGAAAACATTCAGTATTTAGGCTACTGAATTTTATAAACCAAACTCAAATCTTGCTTGCTTTGGCCTATCATATAATGTTATCCTGTTTGTACATGGTGAACTTATCTGATTGCATTAATGTATTATCAGCAATACAATTAGCTGTTAATTATAATTTAAATGGGTCAAAACGTTAGTCTATAAAGGTTTATCTTGTCATCTCGAGAGTATTTAATTCTGGTCCCTAACTTGAAACCCAAAAGTCGGGTCTATATTTAGATGTCAAGAGATTTCAAAACTAAATGTAAATAATCACGAGCTGTTTGCCCGTCCTACGTACGGGAATCGAGTAGTCCATTATATCTGTATATAGTGTGTCTATTACTAATTCAAGCATAGTTTAAACAGTTCAAAATTTTTAGTAAAGACAAAGCAGCAAAGATGAATGGAAACATGTTATCATTGTTATTTTCCCAACCTATCCTCAAAAAGTCGAGTATTAAAATAATTTTCATAAGCTTTCTTTTGAAGATTCATGGGCTTCGATTCGTATAGAGCAATGATTATAGAATCTTACTTACTTCCTATAATCAATGACAAAATAACAGAGTAATTAAACTAACCTCATAGTTCTATAGAATATTCTTTTATTCAACTAGCTGTTATAGTTAAATTATAACAAATGATATTGCACTAAAACAAATTAAATATTTTAAAGACTGCTAAAAAAAATAACTGAGAACATCTAGTATTTTACTATGTATATTTAAATAATCTCTCATCCTCTTGCCGAATAAATGAACGTACCAATGATTATAACATTTATAGTATAAATAAGTCAATTCTACGTATGTCATTTCATTTTCATCCAAAAGCAAATGGAATTGTACTAAAAGCTAGAGTACAATGTTAGCGTCGGCTGCTAGACTTTTTTAAAATTTAAAACTTAATTTCTAAAAAACTGTAACCCTAAACTAAAATTATGGCTTTGACATTCCCTAGTTCTCAAAATTATTTTTCTTTTAACACAAAAATCATGAAAATCCGTCAAGTGGTTGATTCAGAATCGTGAAATAAAAAACCCTGAAATGTTTTAATATATAGAATTACCGTATGTCCCAACAGTTATATTATGTGTATCCCAGTCACAGCAACCACATTATTCTATAATATTAATATAATGATCAAAACTAATTATGCAAGAAGATTCAATATTTTAATATTTGCTCAAGTAATTAACTATTTCAAAGCAACTATCACTTATATTCTTATATTTCACAATTAAATAACAACTCATTCATTAGTTGATTTGGAATTAGGAATTAGTATCTATTTCACAGTTAGTTTGTTTTGATTTAACCTAAAGATTTGACAGGTCTGAACACATTATCGCACTAATGCCAAAAAGGTTCAGCTTCAAAGATATTCCACCACACCTTAACAGCTTCTAGCTAAAAAAATCCAACTGTGTTTTCCCACCTTTAGGTGTCTTATTGTGAATTCATCACCTTTTCACAAACACTATAGTCTAATTGTTTGGTTAAAAGTATTCCTTGATCTGTTTATAATCATATGTCATATTATGTTTTTATTTTTATTGTTTACATTTGAATTATTTACTAGTTGTACTCAGATTGAGTTCAGTAATAAAGATACTTTTGTTAACATTATTACCGAAACCCTACCAAGGCTGACGTTAACCGAAACCCCCAGTCTGTGAGACCCCATTTGAAAAATAATGGACCCCGCTTAGACACACACAAACCGAAACCCTGGGCCTGGGCCTGTGAGACCCCCCTTTAAGATACACTAACGATGTGCTTCTGAGACAGGCATGTTATGAACGGACAACCTGTCAAGGTCACGGCACCCATGCAAAATGAACAAACAATATATCAATAGGTAGGGGAGGAAAAGGGGGGAAGGTTTTGGGGGAATGGAATCTCCCAAGTAAACAGTGTTGCCAACATGCGTTTTTGAAAATTCCCGTGGACCTGTCAGATCGGGGTTTCGGTATTAGTGTTAAATATGGAAATTAGTAAATTCTATTAAACACTAATAATTTTACCTACAAAAATATTTGTACGGTGGAAAAAGACCTAAGTCAAGACTTCGCTGTGTGTCCGTTAAGGTGTTCAAATTCAAATTATCTTTATTTATATTATGTACAAAACGTACAATAAATAGTGTCAAGCTTATAATTACTATGTACAAATACCTAACCTAAACAAATAAATACTTAACCTAAACAAAAAATACAGAAAATAAAACTATCTATAGCTGTATACATTCATAAACAGTTCATCTATTGAGTAGATGGGTTTTTCTATCAAAAGTTCTTTAAGTTTTTGTCTAAACTTTTTTTTATCCTTCATATCTTTTATTTCATTTGGTATTATCTTTAAAAACTTTGCACCGGCATATGAGGGCTTATTTTTATACATTTCTAAGTTATGTTTCGGTAGAACTATATTATTTTTGTTTCTTAGTGTTGTATTGATGGGTTTCACAATGTGTTTTAAAATTTTCCTGGTTATTTTTTACATGTATGATACATTCCAGTACGTACAAACTAAACACAGTTAATATTTTCAAATTGACAAATTGTTGCTTTACAGACTCATTATAATCTAGATTTAACATTATTCTTATTGCCTTTTTCTGTAAAACAAGTATCTTATCTAAATTTTTCTGGGAAGTGCCTCCATACACTACTATTGCATAAGATATATGTAATTGGATATGGGAATGAAAAACTTTTTTTAATGTTGCTAGGTCACTTAAATAAAACATTCTTTTCAAGGCATAGATTCCAGAATTTACCTTGTGCACAATGCTTCCTACATGATGATCCCACCTAAGACATTCATCAATATGGATACCTAAACATTTTGTACAATCAATAATTTGATTTATTGTGTTGTTGTCAATAAAAATATGAGGGCTACACTTATTTTTGTTCTGCTTAGTGCTGAAAGAAATAAAATTAGTTTTTTGTGAATTTAGCATTAATCGATTGTTTACAAAAAATTCTTGGATTTGTGATAATTCTATATGAGCTGCTACAGTACTTCCAAATCAATCTGACATTTAGCAGATACAATAAGATTAAAATCGTCAGCATACTGTACGAGTTTAGAACTATATATTACATTGTTACATAGACAGTTTGGCATTTTCTTAACATAACAAATAAAAAGCAAAGGTCCAAGAATAGACCCTTGCGGGACGCCATGCTTTATAATTTGTGTTGCGGAGGGAATTTTTGAAATTATAGCGTTGTTTATATGACTGATTTATGTAAATTGCTGCCTGTTGGTGAGATATGACTTGAACCACTGCAAAGGAGTTTTTTGAATCCCAAGATAATGCAATTTCTGTAACAGCCTTTCATGTGATATACTATCAAATGCTTTGGAAAGGTCCATGAAAATACCAGCAACACATTCTCTTTTGTCTATTGATTCTATAATTGATTCAGTAAAATTGATCAGAGCTGTGGTGACAGTTTTATCTTTGCAAAAACCATGTTGTTCGTCATCGAAAAGACTATTTTGTTCTAAAAATAGCATGAGCCTTCCATGCATGGCTTTTTCAAAAACTTTTGAGATTGAAGGGAGAATAGAAACTGGACGATAATTTTCTACATTAAGTTCATCCCCTTTTTTGTAGATTGGTATGATTTTTGAAATCTTCAATTTGTCCGGGAAAATGCCAGAAATGAATGATGAATTTATCAGGTGTAATAAAGGCTTTATCAATGTGATTTTTGAAAATTTTATAACTGTTATTGGTATTTCATCATATCCGTAAGAGTTTTTATTTTTCAAAGAATCAATTACTTTAGCCAATTTGTCCTCATTAAGTGGATTGCATCGGAACACTTTTTGTGGATTTAACAAGTTATTTGTCAAAGTCACGGGCTGTGCTGGAGGCAAATCCTCAATTACATTTACATAATAGTCATTAAAAATTTTACCAACATGAGTTGGATTGGAGACCAGTCTACCATCAGATTCTATTACAATATTTTCACCAGATTTGATTTTTGTATTTGCTACTTCTGAGTTAATGATTTTCCAAGTTGTTTTGGAGATGTTATTGGAGTTTGCAATTTTGTTTTGGAAAAATTGTTTCTTTGCATTTACTGAATTTATTTTGAACTGCCTATTTCTAGTTTTTACTTGTTTATGAAGTTCAGTAGACTTTGTTCTTCTTGCCTGTTGGCTAAGTTCTACAATATTGTTTTTTTCCTCTTTTAACTCCTCAGTTATCCATGTTTTTTGATTTTTAATAGAACTCGTGGAAAAGAAAGATTGAAATAATATTTAAATATGCTATCAAAACTGTTGTACTTTTCATCAACAGTTGCATTGTAGACTGCGCTCCAATCCTCCTTTATAAGTAATGAATTGAAGAGAGTCATGTTATCTTT